TCACGTGAGAGTCAAATATTTGTCTTGCCAGCCTGTCTGGTCTCTCGTGTCAGTCCTGTTCCAACTAGCATCGGTGCACACGGTGGCGCGAAGCGCATCCGAGTTTGTAGGTTTCAGATTAGTCTTGAGGCTGGTATTGACCATGGCACACTTGCGCCGTCATGGTCATATCACACACGACGATGGAGACGCTGACAGGATTGTTCCAGGAAGATGACGGAGGCGATTCATGGTGTTTCAACTATTCCACCTGCACCTTCAAATATGTAAGAGCCAGCTATCTAGCTGCGATCGCCTTGTGGAAATATAGGTCACGGTTCTAGCTTTATTATCTTCTTTCCTATCGCATGATGTAGGCAGCTTGCCAAGAAAGTGTGCGGCCTTACCTGCGGTACACGTCTGCCAGTGCGGCCTGGGTCCTCCTCTGTTCCATCATCGTCTTTTTCATGGTAAATGCGCTTCCTTGCTGTGAATTGACGAAGCAAGCTGCGTTATTCCCGTGCAGAAAGCTGGATTTATGCTCGTGGAGCTGGCCTTTGCCAGTTCCGTCCGTGACAGGCGACACGTAGTAATACTGGTAAGTAAATCACTACATTCACTTTTGGTTTTGAAAAAAAAGGCTTGTCTCCTAAACACTCCAGAAACACCAAGATACGTTTGCAAGTGCCTTTGGTTTCTTTTTCATTGGATTTGACTTCATATCGGGCTACTCGTCGCCACAGAACATACCGAGATCTTTTTTCCGGCTCACTGACCCCATGCTCTGGTTTTTCAAGGTCTGTTTCATTACCTCATTACCTCATTTTGAGAAAGCTCTACCACACCCCGCGTTGCATCATTGTTTGATTTGTCATTATCGGCAGTTCACATTTGCCAGCAATGCCGCTACTGTGTTGGGTGGAGTGCTGGTGACCAACAAGTACAAGTTGAGACTGCCAGCCGCTTTTTTGAGTGCCTTCTTTATCAGTGTATGTGCACCTCTTCAACTCTATTGCAGTTTATACTGGCTCCCTTGCTCCGTTCCAGGGCGTTATCCATCCACTCATTGCAAGGCTCATATGGTCTGACAAATGCACCTCTCTCTCTCCCTATCGGTTCTGTACCAACTTCAACAACTTCACGGCCCCCTACGCCTGCAACTATGGATGCAGCGAGACCCTTTCCCTCCACCAGAGGATGTATGTGCTAGACTTTGCTGGTGGTGGAGCGGTACACATGCTAGGTATATATAGTACTGTACTAGAGCGAATGCAACACTGGTATATAGCAAAGATGCATAGTGGGCCTGCTAATAGTGTATTATAGGCTAAGACCACAGGATAATTATTGTATATACTCCAGTTTTTGATGGAAGTTGTGCTGAGTTGGTTTGTGTATAACTCAATCTCCAGGTGGTATAGCTGGCTTGGTCATCAGTCTGCTGGCAAAACTGCAGGAGTACAGAGACAGTGGTAGGGTGAGTCAGGACCAAAACTTCATATTTCATTCCTCCATTGTCTCCCTGCGTTTGATGTAGGAGAGAAAGCCGATTACTAAACCTCTCCAGCAGAGAGCAGGCAGTTCAGGTGCAGTGGCACTGGAAGAGGCTGAAGATGAAGAAGAGGTGCCACGGAGGTCAGCCAGTGTGTACAAATGGCTGGGATGATCCCAGTGGTTTTGCAACTTATCTCATTCTCATTTCTTTTTCATGTATATAGGTCTTTCTTGGAGTGGATGTATCCAGTGAGTGGAGGAGAGGAGAGTGTGTCTGACGCAGCTCTGGGAGTCGTCATACTGTGGTTCTGCTGGTGAGGGAACACACACAACCACTGTCACGTTCCTTTTTCTTTTTCTTCTCCTTTTCTCCACAGGTTTGCATTCAACTGTGGTTCGACTGAGAGTGTTCAAGGTCAGCCCATGTGCCAATATACCTGCTAGCAGGTGTAGCTGCATGCACCCAGCGTTTCTTCTAGAAGTATTTTCAGCAGGCAAATTGGTTATATTATATGGGGTGCAAGGTACACTATACTCCCACTTTAATATTGATTTGAGCCATAGTCCAGGGGGGGGACCCATCTTCAGGGGGAAAATTGCCCCCTTGCCCCCTAGGAAAAAAACCCTGGTACTGTGAATGCAAGTTAGCTATTTCGTGTTCCATTGGCTTGAAACATTAACCAAATGCTACTACACCAGTGGGGGTGGAGGAGACGTCCATGCTGCCCAGAGACAGCACCTACTATCCTTACTACGGGATCCCGTCCACCATTGCCGTCAACATGATAATGGCTGCTGCATCGGGAGGAATTGTTGCAGTGGCTATAGCAGTCTGGGCACAGGTGAGCCTAGCAGAGAGAGATTGAGAGAGCAGTGTGTTAGGATCTCTATCTCCAGACACGGTCACGCAGTGACTCTGTGAATGCCAACGAAATAGCAAACGGAGTCCTCTCCGCGCTAGTGGGGATCACAGCCGGCTGTGCCTTTGTCGATTACTGGGCAGCCTGCATCATTGGAGGTCAGCTTTTCTTCATCTCTTCCTTCCCCCTCTCTTCTCTTGTTTGTATGTATGACCCGTTTGACTTGCGTACATTGTTGTCGCCATTTGTTCTCCCAGCTATGTCGGTGGTCCTGTACCACCTCGGCTGTTTTGCAGAGTACAAACTGAAACTGAAGGACACGGCTCGTGTTGTTCCGGTCCACGCGGTGTGTGGTCTGTGGAGCTTGCTGGCCATTGGAGTCTTCCAGGCTGGAGACCCTGCACGCTGCAACCTCCACGCTGCATTCGAGGGACTCTGCTACTGTCATCTTAGACTCCCTCAACTGGTATCTGTTTTCCAGTAATTCAGTGTGTTTTGGTAATAAGGGAGCTAACAGGTATAATAATAAATGATCATAAATGTTTCTTAAGTTGTTTACCAAAAACCTGTTCTTTCCCTCTCTAGAGCCAGGGAGAGATATTCTTGTCCCAGCTGTGTGGGGCTCTCATCATGATAGGGATATCGTTGGTCTCCTGCTCAATCCTCTACGGCCTGCTCTACATCATCCCCATGCAACCCTTCGTATGGCTGGCTGAGAAGTCAGTGAACCCTCGCACATGACCTATCTTCCACCTGTACAGAATTATAACAGGGTTTTGATGTCCCTACTTAAATGTATGTGTTGGTGGGACTAATATATTCTCCCTACGTACCTAGTGTTTCGAGAGAACCTATTACGTCATAATTTTTGGACATTGGTGTTTTTTGTGTCCTTGTCTTCTAGGGTGTTTTTTCTGACTCCCAAGAACACGCCTCCACTGTGGTACAGAGGAGGTTGGCTGTTCACGTCGCCAGAAGATCGCTGTGTACCAAAAGGAGGAAGGATGTTTATTCTCCCAGACACTGACTCTACAGATGGAGTCTCCATTCAGGGGGTAAGGGAGGGTGTGTACTATGTACTCTGTTAGTTGTTGCCGTGGACTCTATATTGAGATTTGCCTCTTTGTCCCAAATGGGCACCAGTGTCCACTTAACATCGATAAACGCTTTCACTGCAACAGAACTGAAACGTTAGTGTCCCTGTAAAATGTGAGACGTGGGTGCTACATTTCCATCCTCCCGCAGAGTCACTGGGAGGTGAGAGGTAGGGGTGGAAGCAGTGGAGGTCAGTACGGGTCTCTGGAGGCAGTCAGAGGTGGTGTGGTCAATGGTGGCTCAGGGAGTGGCAGTGGTAAGCCCATACACTGCGCTGCTTTTTACTGAATTGTGGTGCCTGTTTCAGTTGTGTATAATGTTCTCCACTCTGTTCAGGATGGTGGTAAGGTGAGGAGAACTCCTCGGAGCTCTAACAGCTCTAATTCAAGACAGAAAGTGGGAGGAGAGCAAGACAACAAAAACATTGAATGACGACATGACTTGCATTTTTTGTCACGTGCGTACTCGCGGCGTGCGAGCGTCAAAGTTTACGGCCAGACGGCCTTACACCTGCCATCTATCCGAAATCGAAATGGCGGCGAGAGCGCCGGATGGATCGAACTGCAGCTACGAGGTGATGAAGGCGAGGCACAAGGAGGCGTACGGCTACCTCACCCGGGCCCTGCAGATTGACGAGGCTGGCGAGGGTACGTGGGTTCAAATTGTCTACACAAACGCAGGGAAAACAGTTTCTAGCCTGGTAGGCCTGTAGCTCTAATTGTAGAGATATGCGTTGGAGCGAATTGGTGTGCTTGGTTTACACGTACAGCGTGCTGAGCTCCTTGAATTGACCCTCATACCCACTTTTAAGAAGAAACATAGAACCATCAAGTTCAGTTAGTTCCTATTTCAAGGTCATGTGCTTGGCTGTCTGGCATACCACCTGTATGGTTCCTATAGTTAACTGCCTGTCAGCTGCATGGAGCCATGATGTGTCTCTCTCCTCACACAGGAGACAGAGCTGAAGCCATTGACATGTACTCCAAGGGAATAACAGAACTGGAGAAAGCAGTCGCCATGTCAGTCCACACCACCGGTGAGGAGAGAGGTAGGGGAGAGGAGGGAGAGAGGGAGAGCATTATCTCCCTATCCAGGGGAGGAGGAAAAGAAGAAGGTGGAGGACATGAGAAAGGCGATGCTGAAGAACATTGAGATGTCTCGGGAGAGAGTGGGCATTCTCTGTGAGTCAAACCACACACTGCAGGGAACACACGTGCAACAACACTAAAGTCTGCACTCGTTCAAATGGTGTCGTATATATTATTGGTCTGTCCGCTGGCAGTGGAAGGAGGGTCTCTGGTGGGCTCAGGGCGAGGGAGAAGAGTGAAACACCAACCCACTGAGTCCCTCAGATCTGTCACTCCACGACAACCAATCAGGAGAAGACCTTCCCCGCCTACCAGCAGACCAGCTCAACACAAGGTCTGCCATTTTCTCTGGGAGAAAACCTTCAGGCCTCCTCATATATAATTGTAGTCTTGGGCATTTGTCGCGAAGGTGTTCTCTCTGAAATTCGCTTTTGCTATTCAAATGTGAACATTTTCTCCCTCGAAAGGTTTCAGCTATCAATACTCCCGTCTCTCCTCCCCCCCTCCCCCCCTCTCTGTTTTTAAGAAGAAGAGGCCGGCGTCAACATCTTATAATTCCCTACCACACCCCTCCTCCTCCTCCTCCTCCTCCTCCTCACCGACTCAGACAGACACCACACACCCTTTCTCCCACATGAAGGGAGTTGACTCCAAACTTGCCGACACTCTTCTCAACGAACTCTTGGAGAAAGACACAAAGGTCTCCTGGAACGACATTGGTAATATTATGGGGACGTACTGTATGCAGTGGTCTATGGGGAGTATGGGGAGTATTTGGAGTATGTACAAATCAATGTTGTTTCTGCCACTTCTCTCACATTGGGCCTTTGGTCTTGGAGGCAACAAGGCCCCTCCCCCCCCTCAGAAAACTGCCATGAAATTAGTAGCAGAGAACATTTTGATGAAATCTTTGTTATACGCAGTTGGCCTGGAACTGCCGAAACAGACTCTGCAAGAGATTGTCATTTTACCGTCCATCAACCCAGAGGTTTGCTCTCCTCTCTCCTCCCATCTCAACTGACTTCCAATAATATTGTGACAGTTGTTCACGGGACTGAGGGCCCCAGCCAGAGGTCTACTCCTGTTTGGTCCACCTGGCAATGGAAAAACCATGCTGGTATAATAATTATGATAATACTATAGGAGATTTGAGAAATAAAAACTTTCCGTACCCACTAGTATACGAATGAATCTGGTTCAAAGGTCATATATACTCTCTTTCTTCAGGCAAAGGCAGTTGCTCACGAGTCAAATTCGAAATTTTTCAATGTCGGTGCATCTTCTCTCACCTCGAAATGGGTGAGCCCCTTTCATTAGTGACTTAAGTACCAGAGCCCCTTAAATTACTGTATGTGTGTTGTTGGTTGGCAGGTGGGAGAGGGAGAAAAGCTAGTGAGGGCGCTGTTTGCTCTGGCAAGGGAGCTCCAGCCTTCCATCATATTCCTGGGTCAGTGGGGAGGGAGGAACAAATAGAGGCTCTAATGTATAGTGTGTGGGATGAACTGAAGCCTCTGTGCACTGTATATAGTGAGCCTTTGCATAGTGTGTAGTGTGCTGATGCTACCTTTTCACTAGCCTAACCTATGAGACGAGCATTATTATAGAATCAAGTCAGGAAACAGCTGTTTAATAAGGGATGCCTCTGTATGTATGTACACTGAACCACTTCAAAGGTGTTATGAGGCACCACACAAATCTGTTCGAAACCGCTGGTATTTAATTCTGTTTACTCCTCCCCCTCTCTCTCTCTCTCTCTCTCTCTCTCTGTTGCAGATGAGTGTGATGCCCTACTGGGGAGGAGGGGAGAGGGAGAGAACGACGCAATGAGAAGACTCAAGAACGAGTTCCTCCAGTGTTTTGATGGGGTGGGTGTGGCCTCTGTAGACTGTTTTACAAATTGAAGAGATTGAGGGATGAATGTGTCATATGTATTGGCTCACTCCAGATGACGGCAGAGGCTGGGGAGAGGATTCTGGTCATGGCTGCCACCAACAGACCGCATGAGTTGGACGACGCAGTTCTGAGACGGTTTGAGAAGAGGATTTTCATCCCTCTCCCTAGCCACGAGGTACCTCTTGCTTCCAGTCTCCTCTCTTGTGTCTGTCCCTTTCTCTTCCTCTCTTCTGCCTCCTCTCTCCTGACACCGTCTTGAACAAATCCCTCCTCCCCCCCGACAGGCTCGTAAGGGGGTATTGAAGAAACTGGTGTCCAAACACAAACACAAACTCTCAGAGAGCCAGTTGGGGAAGCTGGCTCAGGACATGGACTGCTACTCTTTCAGTGACATCACAGCTCTTGCCAAGGAGGCAGCTCTGGGACCTATCAGAGGTCAGTGGGTGGAGTCAAACACAGACTGAGGGGGGGGCAAGACAGTATTAGCAAACAATGGTAATAAACCCACACCTGTTTAGATATATAGGTAGTAGGGGAATGCCAGTTGGGTGAGAATGTGGTTGGAGGTAGTTGGGACAACATTGAGGAATGTTTCCACCAATAAGAACTGCACCTCTCTGTGCCTGCCACCTGGTCATTTCCATGCTTCCTTCTCTGTTTGCAGGAATGGACTACAACACCCTAAAGAGCATATCTGCGGGAAAGGTATAGACTACTGCTGAGTGAACACTTGTCCAAAATTTAATACTATATATGTACATGGTATGGTTACAAAATTCAGATGACTTGGTGGGCTCGCTTTGTGTCTGATAATCTTTGCCCCCTGTGGTGTGACTTTTCACTGCAATCTGGGATGTTTAAGTGGTAAACCAGGAAGTTGAAATGAAGTATATACTGATTTCTCCATTACTGTTTCCTCCTGGTGGGATGATACCGCCATTGACCTACTGGATAGACCAGTATATTACCCCCCCCCCTCTCTCTCTCTCTCAGGTCAGGCCAATAGAGTACAGTGATTTTGAGAATGCCATGGGAGTGGTGAGACCAAGTACTTCAGTGGAACTGCTGCGAACACTTGAAGAGTGGAACGCCAGATTTGGTGTTTCCTCTGCGTAAACTAGTGCACAACACCACCAACTTGATCACAGCTTTAGTGCAGTTTTGTTGACATGATGTAATTGTGACAATTCGTTGACATGACGTAATGCGTGAGAATTATACGCGCGCTTTGCGCGGGTAATCCAAAAACGAAGCGAGAATGTAAATAGGCCGCGTGGCTGCAGTTCTGAATAGTCGATCGTGACAAACTGCAAAGAGCAAAGCAGAGTTTGCAGAGTGTGTGAGAGACATGAAGAAAGTTGTGTTTCTAAGAGTCGCTCGGGGCTTCCCGGGCTACGACAGCGGGCCGCACGCCACGGCTCTGGTTCTGCAGAAGACGGCAGACGGTTACCTCACCATCCAGGGACACACTCCAGTGGCCTGGAGCGAGCGACACCAGTGCTGGCAACTCTTCCGCGTGAGTTTTGCACGTCCTGCACGATGCTCGCTTATATGCTGCACTAGCAACTTATCTAGCTAGAGGCGCTGCATGCAGTTCTCAAACAACTGTTTGCGGTCGGGCAAAAGAAATTGGGAATGTTTTCGTTATAGCGCCCCCATTTTCACTGTTTACAGAGAGCGGCCAAGAGTCTTCTCGGCGTGTGCGAGTCCCTCCCGGTTTCCGTGGCTCTGTCTGAGCCTCCCCACTCCACAGTCTCTGACCTGCGGGACGTGTTCCGACAGCCGAGCCACATCGTCTCCCTCACCCTCGCCCCGCTGCCGCACGAGTCTGAGCTGGAGCGAGAGGCGGACAGAAGGAAGAACGAGCGGCAGGCCGCGGCGTCTCCCTCCGGACGAACCTGCGGCAACTACGGACCAACTCCCGCCGCCAGCGGTCTCTACCAGCCGCCGAGAGCGTCTCCTCTCTCCTCGCCACAGGCAAAGCGGCGAGCCAAGACCCTCGGGGAGGGACGGAGGGAGATGGATCGACTCCTGGTACAGCTGGACGAGGTCAGTCAGACGCTGGAACGGACGCACAGTCGCTGCGAGGACATTGCCCGTCGATGCGATAGCGGCAGTCGGCGAGCCAGGTCGGCTGGGGAGGAGGGGTTCGAGGAGGCGGACTGGGGGAGCGATGACCAGCGCGTGGAGCGGCTACTGAGAGTGGCGGACAACCTCACGGCGCAGATTATCAGCCAGCAGAGGAGGAGCCCCACGCCCACCCTTGCTTCTGGTGAGTTAGTTGAGGGAAGTGTGTGTTTGTATTGCAACTTATGCCTCAGCTATACTATCAGCTGCTTACACCCTTCCCTCCCCCGAATACCTTACCTTTATTCATCAACGTTTGTGAATAATATCCTCTTGTGGGTCACTGTTGAAATAAGCCCTATATATCTATACAATAGGAACACTGAGTAATTAAGTGAGTGTGAACACAAGGAAGGGTCTGTGGACACCAACAGTGAAGGGTCAATAAACTATGACAACAATATCTATTAGTGCCTGACACCTAGCCAGGGTTTATACCGATACTCTTCCCTATCAGGACACTCTGTAATGGTGTCCTACATGGTTGGCACGGAGACACCATGGCGACACTAGGACGGGTCGCTGCAACAGAAGGCAGTACATACTAATGCCGCGAATCAAATTAGACAAATTGCGATATTGATTGTTGATTGTTAATCAGTGGCTTGTAATTTCATCCCAACTTGCAAAAAGCATGTTTATGGAAATCTTGTTTGCTGGCTATGCACTAACTAAAAATACTGCTCTCTTGACCACAAAATGACCTCCTGCTTCCCTCCTCAGTCCACCCAGACAACTCACCAGTCTAAATAATGTGGCAGCCTGCCCCCCCCCAGGGCCATTCACTGAGGTTTACTGTTTTGGTTTGGGTGGCAGTTATTAGCTGGAGGTGAATTTCATAGGCTCCCTGGGCGCCTGCTCTAACCACCTCACAGGCAGCAGCTCCTTTACCTCATTTAGACCCAGTCTCAACTAACACGTGTGGGTAGACCGTTCTTTAATTCCGCGGCATTATTCCTGACTGGTGTGAGAATTCCTTGCATGAGAAAAATGTGGTATCAAGTGGCCTTGTCTAACCAACTTAATAATACCTCGCTGCGCTCTCTATCAACATCTAACTGTGTTGTCACATTTTCCGTGACTGGCAGTACCAGATATAGTCGGGCTGCGAGCATGCCAAGTGGCTCTGGTATCTGTGAGGTGCATCAACCTTTTGGCAGTGGCGTGTGCTGGTTTAAGTTTTGAGTCTGAGCTCCGCGGAACACTGCACATCCAATGTACACAACAAAGCATACCCGTGAGCTATGTCTCCATGTTATACCATGTCAATAGGATCACAGCATGGCTCCATATCTATTGCATGTCCATGGAGCTGACACTTTATTAGCACAAACTATCTTGTTGGACAGTTTTGTGTATTGTTACTTCGAGTGGATCTCTGTGCTAATTGAGTGTTCAGGTTGGCTACTGTTAGCCCAGAATGTAGCTGGACTGTTATGTCTATTGAGACCCAGTGTATTAGATGGTGTTAGACAGGGAGACTGGAGGGAGGAGGGGGAGAGCCCTGTCAGTCAGTGTGTGTGTGTGTTTGTGTACAGCTGACGAAGACTTTAGGAAAACACCCCTACTGCCCCATTGACCTGACCATCCGGTCAGCTGCTGCCTTGAACAAACTGTTGCCTTTTATTTCGTTGACATTCATGAGCCTTAACAGTCACTTGACTAATCTCCCCTCCCTTCGTTCCATTGTCTTGACACTGTTCCCTCCTGGTTTACATTTTTATCAACTTCTTTTGCTTTTGCTGCGTGCCCATCCCAGAGCAGGGGGTAATGGCTAATCTAATCTTCCTCACCCATATGGACAGATCAGAACTCAGGCTAGGTCTAGTAAACTTGATGTGTGTGACTAGCTGCCAACTCCAGTGGCCAACAGACACAAAGAGAGTCTAGTTGACGTGATCAACCAGCGGTGTAGGCCGACACCAGACTGTGCAATGAGCTATGCTGCGACAAGTGATATTAGCTGATTGAGTCTGTGCCTCCCTCACGTATGGCCATTAGCAGACTGGCATAGCTCTGGGATTGAGAGCCGTCTTGTATTTCAACTCTACCTCGCCTCAAGAAACTCGCCTAAACAACAGCAAATTTGCACACACAGTAACTACAGTGGAACCCCTCTGATCTGAAGAAAGCGTGTTTTTAGTGAGATGTCAAGAATCTGTTATTGGAGAAAGACAATGTGTCCTCATGGTGTCCTCGTTTTAGGGGCGTCCAGGGAGGGGTTCCACTACTTGCATTACTTAGTTAACCTGGCAAAACTATGCTTGATCTGTGTTCGGTGGAAGGAGGTACAGCTATAGCCAAGCCTCAGGGGTCCTAACAAGGGATACCTAGACATTGGGTCTGGTTGGCTGGAGTCAGCTCTGTGGGTTAGTGAGGTGTCCATCAATTCTGGGGCACAGGAAGAGTTGGTCAGACTTTATCCTGTGTTGATTGGCCTGTCAATCCTACCTCCACACATGTTTTCACTGCTCCATCCCTACACTCACTGTACTTGCTAGGTTGTAGATACTCGTGATACTAGGGGCTGCCCTCCGTTGCCTTATGTAGCATCTGAGTTGCTTCCGTTTGTCTGACGTGTCATTTGTTACCATAAATAGCCGTCGTCTTAATAGGAAACGTACTATTTTTGACGACAATGTCTATCTGCACAGAAATGCAATTTCTACTATTTAGCTTCTCTGCAACCTTACATTGCCGTCAATCTATCTGCTTTCTTTCGCTCGTTTGCATGGTTATCCACAGGTGTTGTTTCACCACGGCAACCGGGAGGGAGGATGTCATCGGAAAGGGGCGGAGTTCCAGAGGCTCCGACAGACGTGTCGACTCAGCCCAGCCTCAACGGAGGAGTCTTTGTGTTCTGGAGACCAGTCAGGTATTGTTACAGCTACTGACTTCACTCATTTGGGGGAAAGCCCGAATAAAAAGAAAAAAGGACGGATTAGTAGCTCATGTGTAAGTGTTCTGTGTGTGGTTGGTTCTAAAACAGAGAGGCTTGTTGAGTCGTGGGCCAGTGAGGTCCGCGATGGGGGGGGGCTGGTTAACTAGCTCGCGCTCTGGCAAACCTCACACCAGAACAATGGGACAGCCTTGCATGGCCCGGTGTCAGCTGCAAACACTACTGGCTGGCAGTCACTCATTTGGAAACAGGACACTGTGCGTACATCAGGGAGACTGAGAGTATGCATCACATGCCACTGGTTCGTGACACCTCCTGCGGTTACCTCGGCTGTGTCGGAATGAACTCTGCAAGTGGCTGTGAAACCCCATGTTGTAGTCCTATCCCATTACCTACTGGTTGTTGGCAGTGTTAGTTGAGAGAGTGTGAGTGTGCAGGCTGGCCACCTGAGCCTACAACATGCCATTCTCCTGCACTCACCTGTCAGATTCCATGCATACTAGAGGGTTTCTGGAGAAATCTCTAACATTTCTCGGTGTAGAAATTAATATGTCCCAGCAACATTCTTGAGAGAGATGGAAGTAGCTGCCTTCCAAGCCTGCCTTTCTCTCTCCTTCTCCTCTGAACGTCAGAGATTTTGATAAACCCTCGACTTACTGGATCTCTGACAAGAGGTGTAATTGACTGCTAATGTTCCTCTAGTCCACCTCCGCAGATGCACACAGCACCGTCAAAGAGCTGGTCTATAATGTAGTTATCTCTCTTCCTGCCTCTCCCTGCATTTCACCCACCATACAACACATGTACTGTTGTAGATTATCCCCTGATTGTGTAAGTATACGGGAGCATGTAATTTAGAGCCTTCCGGAATGAAGTACAAGATATGTAACCCATTGTCTCTCCCCCTCACATGTAGACTGGATGACAGAGATAGAAACAATGGCTGCAAGGTTGCCGGATATGGAGTGTACGTCGACGGGGTTCAGAGGACAAAGGTGAACGAACCCTTCGGCTCTCATGTGGAGATGGACGGACTGGAAAATGGAGCGCAGTACCAGATACAAGTCAGGTGTGTGTGTGTGTGCGTGTGTGTGTGTGTGTGTGTGTGGAGGGTTCCTGGATTATATGTGGGGCTGGCTTCCGTCACAGAGGCTGCCAAATTATGATTCCGATTTCTGATAATTTCGTTAATTCCGCGCCATCTCCATGTTTGGACATGTAGGCAATACACCAGAGTATCAGTTATTCCTGTGATTGTTTGTGTGTATGTGCCACGTCAATGATGTCATTGATTATGATGTATCACTATGTTGTCTCCTGTAGTACACTGGCCAGCGATGGTAGGGAGTCGCCTCTCTCACCAGCTATTCAGTACAGGTGGGTGTCCACATGTTGTCGTGTGTTTTAGTCACAAGAACAAACTGTTGCTGTTTTCTTTCTGAAAATGAGTAAATTGAAATTCCCCCATAGTCCCCAGTCAGTGTCAGTTCCCACCCTTTGTTTCCCCTACCAAAAATAGCACTGTTTCTCTTTCCTCATACATCTAGTGCTAAAAATAGCTTTTTCTCATGCAGTAGAGTATGGGGAATACCAGGGACTCTGGTCTACTATAAAAGTTTTGAAGGAGTTGGCCAGGTGCCTAGCTATGACATCATAGAAAAAGATGGGGTAATCCCCTGGGTAACTCCAGATGCTACAGATGATAGGGTGACTCTTAGTAACCACTCTAAATGTGGTGTGGTTTGCGAAAATGCTGACACTCCCGAACTAGCATGGAGCGGTGGGCTTTCTTTCCTAAAATGGTTTTGGTGAAGAAACTGAGTTTCTGCTTACCTCTTTCCTTTAGCACACATGCTGTGTGTGTTCCTTCCTCTTCGTTTCAGTCACCCCCTCACCACCTAGAGCAGTCACCTGGTGTAGAAAGAAAAGGTGGTGAAAGCAGTGGCCAATTTGTAGTGCTATAGAGTCTGGGTCTCCCACATGAAGCTAGCCAACTTCCTCCCACAGTGGAAGTGGCCGAGACGTGTTTACTTACTCTCCTCTAGTGGAGCCTCCCACTGAGGGAATAATGCCATTTGCTGAATCTCTAGTGGAGCCTCCCTGTTGTAATGACTCCATTTCCTAGTGTGTGAAGCAGTGTTTGTCACCTCGGAAAGGACTGGTAATGATATGAAACTCGAGGTTCCGATATTTCAAGGAAGGAATAGGACACTGGGTGGAATTTTACACCTCGTGCTTCGTTGGCCCCCAATATGGATAGCTAGTGCACGTGGGGGGCGTTCATGTTTCTCCAGTTTAGTATTTCAGCTCTACTGCATACCATAATTACTCTCTCTTCTTCTCGCCTCCCTCCCTATGTGCACAGACATGAAGCTCGCCCCCCTTCCTCCTCTCCCTCAACTACCACACCCCCCACCAGCAGTCAGTCCTCAAAAGTGGAGAAGTGGCTGCTCACAAACTCTCAGTCAACAACACAGCTCTCTCCCAGCCACACTAGGACCCCCGAGAGGTCCGTCGAAACCGCACCCCCTGGCCACACCCACCTACCGGAGGACACTTGGAGCATGGGCAGCAGTCACACGAGCGGCATCGTAATGGACCACCCTCCAGGAAGTCCAAAACTCACCCCCTCCTGTCCCTCCTTTTACCATGGCGACAGTTTCTCGGTCCACTCTGGGGCGACAACTCTGATAGTTGACGGACAGACTGCCCTGTCTCCTTACCACCACCACCAGCTCCGCTTTTCCCCCTCCCCCTCTTCCACTCCGTCTCGGACGCGCAGCCTCACACCCAAACAGGGAGGAGGAGATGGTGAAATAGACGAGCCCCTAGATATCGCCTCAATCACGGTAGTGGAGGAGCCGGAGACGGAGAAGGAGAAGGCAGCTGCAATGGTCCGGCTAGTTGCTGGGTCCCGGCACAGAGGACCAGCTCCTCCCTCTGGTGTGCAGGTCTCACAGAGACAGCCTGGCTGGCTGCACGTCTCCTGGACACCCACCAAGTGAGTCCTCTCTCTCTCCTCTCTCTCTCTCTCGAAGTAGCTCAAATCTGTCTCAACTGTTACACACTCCAACCCACTAAATGGCAGCAAGATCAGAGCGAATGTCAAAGAGTCTCAATTGTTCTCATACACTGCTCTCATCACTAGTCCCATTGTACTTTACCCACCGGCATTGACTGTCAAGAGAGTCTTTCAAGTTCTAAGTTGGCTGAGTTGCCTTGCTCCAACACAATACCTCCTCCATTACTTCAGTGGTCTGTCACCACTTGTGAAGACGAGCCTGTATTGTGTGACTATAGCTGCTGCATGTACCTCCATATAAGTAAAGCACTGTGTAGATCAAGTACTGGCTCGCTATATTGGCTCTAAGGACTTGCTCTCACTATTACCTGTGTACCGTTACTATAGCACTGAGCCACGCAATTAATTGGGTAGTGAACCCAGGAAGGCTTCAATTAGTACTTTGTGGTTGTTTGTGTCATCTCTGATGATGTCAGGAGTACAGCATAATCTGGACACCAATGAGGCAGGAGACAGTGTCCATATATTAGTCCTTGATTCAAAACTGTATTCTGTTCTTGGAGAAGAGAGGTGTCCTTATTAGAGAGATGTCCTCATTTCAGGGGTCTTCTTAGAGAGGGTTCCACTGTATATCAACACAGGTATACATATATAGAGTGTTACTCAAGCTCTCTCTCTCTCTCTCTCTCTCTCTCTCTTTCAGGAGGGATGGGAAGGGCTGCAGCAATGGGTGTTTCGTACTGGGCTACAGACTCTACATCAACGGAACTCCAAGAGCAAGTGTGGATGGTCCGATGACCTACGAAACATCTCTCAGATGGCCTCGTCTCGACTCCGCCCACAAGCTGAGCGTCCACGTGAGGTGAGCCCTGCTATTAGTCGACGCTAACACGAGTCAATCGTCGTCTTCTCTCCGACAGAACTCGCTCCATTGCTGCCGAGAGCCTCCCGTCCTCTATTGTTCTCTATGACATGATGTAAGTGTTGAGAGAGAAAGGGGAGGGGGGAGAGTGGTTGAAGATGAAACTTTATGTCGTGGGAGAAACCACTAGGTAATATATGGTATACTCTTTTCATTCAGATTACAAGAATCTGTTGAGAAATATCTGGGTGCAAAGGTGACTTCGCCCCTGTCGTCCACGACGACATTGTGTCCTAACAACAGTGCCCAGCCACGCCCACTCCACAAAAGAGCACAAAGTGAGTGTCTAGCCCACAAGTAAAGTAGCCACTCCTAAGAAGTGGTTATTTTTCATACAACTGGAAGCCCCTCTAATTAGATCCAATTATCTGTACGCAGGAAGTGATGCCAGGGAGACCTACGTATGACATCATCACGACATCATCTCATATGATCAGGAAACCTCATAACAGCATTGGCAAACACTCTCTCCCTCCCCCTCCCTGATCTCTATCTGTGTGTCAGTTCGTTGTCATCAGCTGTTTTGTGTTCTGTGAATTTGTTCACTCCCGCAGCCAATCACATCCTTAAATTAAGGTCGTAAACCTTGTCATGTGCACTCTGATATCACAGACACATTGATAACATCATTATGACATCATATTTACATGCCAGTCATATTAGTATTATACAAGAAGGACTAGCTGAGCATGAAAAAGAAGAATATACTTCTCTGGAGGTGTGATAAAGAGAACTGAGAAAATGGCGATAAAGAAGAGAAAGATGGGTATAATGAGAGAGTTCGTCTTTAGACTGTCACCTGTTGTATGTGAGGCTGATGATCTTCAGCTGGTGGGGACTGGGGAGGGGGTTCAGACGATGTGGACGACTTCTTCTGAACGGTGATCTTGTAGTTGGAGTAGCACACGTGAATATAGTCGAGACACCATTCTGGCAGCTCGTCCTGTCCGTCTACACACTGTACCTGGTAGAGGTCAGGGTCCGCACACACCTGTCTCCCGGATACCTCATCGCACCAGACACTACTGGCGATCTGTCTGGTGATCTTCATCATGTCGACCAGATGGTTGGCGTGGACTATCATGTTCTTCTCACTTCTCTCTTTATACATGAAGAACTGCCGCCCGTTTGGGAAGTAGTCGGACTCCAAAATATCCCAGTCAACTCTCTGCGTGTGGTGTCTGATGCAAATGTTCAGCCCGGCCTGGTCGTTCCACTTGAAGTTCTCCTGAAAGTGCAGCACCGAGAGCCAGAGAAGCTTCGTCGCGTCGTTGACTTTGAAAAATATGAACCCTCCGCAGATGTAGCGGAAGAAGTATTTCAGAACGGAGTCGACAAACCCGACTCCGGAGCTGTCCATTTGAAAGACCATGTCTCTCTTCTCCGTCACACTGTGCAGGTACTCTAGAGGGTTTTTCAAAAAGGTGATGTCGGCGTCTGCCAGTAAAACAGTCTGCCCGCACGACAAGAACTTTAGGAGGAGTCGCGTTCTCTCGATGACTAGTTGCTGATACGCCTCCTCGCCGAATTCCGTCCCCTCAATGTTCAGTGTGGGGTGTTCGTAGCACGGAGTGTCAGGGAAGTAGTCGCACACACCCTTCTGGAAAGCCACGAGGTACAGCTTGTCTCCGAGGCCGACCTTCCTGGCAGAGCAGACCCAGTTACGAGCCAGCGCCACCCAGGCCAGGTTGATAAACGTGACTACGACGACGTCGGTCTTGGGTGGCGGAGGGTTAAAGTTGCAGGCAAACTCCTTCTCAAAGGTGGCGAGTTTGGATTCGTCGATGGGGCAATAGGGGTAACCCCTGACCGAATGAGGGTCCACGTGTCGTCGGAGACCAGTCGTCGTCAGGAAGAACTGAACTAAGTTGTATGCGGCAAAGACGGCAAATAGAACGAGAATAATCTTGACAAGTCTCTTCCGTGACAGGTTGTAGCTGATCTTTCTCCACCAGTAGACCGGAACCCTGCAGGGCAGTGTGTGTGTGTGTGCGCGTGGAAACATATTGAAGCATCCTTTGCTAAGGAACAATACCAATAGGTCTAGCGTACCATATTCTCTATTGGTATACCACAGAAAGGAAGACTGGCGGCTATTATATCATAGGACCTACCAGACATGCTCCTGTGTTTGCTGTGTTGAAACACAGTGGCTACTCCTGTTCTCAGTTCTACAGAGTGTCTCCTGTTCTCAGAATGATCAATTCTACACTGAGTTCTAAAGCTTCTGAAAGCCAGGAATGTGCCAACAACGTGCCAAATCACTACTCTCTTGTCAGCACTCCTACATTCCTTGAGACGGGACAAGAAACGCATCCCACGTCTAACTCGGCCTCCACGCTATAATAACTGCACAGTAATCACCACACACACACACGCACTGCACGCACACCCAGTGACTAGAGGACCTCACCTACTGTACGCCGACAAAGCCTTCGTCAAGATAACTATCCTTAGCGCCTCGCTGTCCCTCTCGACGTAGTAAGCCGGCTTGGCTTGGCGGCCCCACTCACGCCGCGCCATATCTTCACGGCCAAGAAACGGGCCGGCCGGTCACAGCCGTAGTCATGAGCTCTCGGTTTGGGTGGTCCAGCACAAAAATGGAGAATGCACGGCGAGCGTGTGGGTGTGGTCAAAGGCGGACCACAGCTATATACTATAATACACCAAGCAAAGTCGACCAAGTCTTGAAGCCAAAGGGAGTTCGGACGGGGCAGTCTGTGTGTTTCTATTCACTGAACTACTCACCCTAGGTCGGCTCTCCCCGAGCAGCTGCAGTCCTCGGGCGAAGTCTTGCCCTTCTTCCTGTCGGACGCCCGGACCGACTCTACGATACTCTTGAGCGTCCAGCGGTACCAGTAGAGATACCACGAGAGGTGGAGGGGGGTAGCGGACATGTAGCAACTCCGCAGTCTTGTCAACAGGTTCGCCATAGTAGCTACTAGCAGCTAACGTCAGCTCAGAGACCGCTGCTGGCACATAATAATTATTTCGCAAGGTAGGTGTGTTTTTAATTACGTGTTGCGCATGTGCGTGAAACCTTACGTGGGGCGCAGCGCGCGCCGCAACCGCGCTGATAATGGATGGAAAAGTTGCACTGGTTTTGCTGTCCCTTTCTTGTATCATATCAGACGCCAGAGTCTTGGAGCGCATCCTGTTGGAAGACGCAGTGGAAGGCGTAAGTATCTATGTAATTTGGTGCTAAAGCTAGCTGCACATCTCGAGCAGCATTAGCCAGCTAGCTAATTTACTGTCGCAGGGTGCTGTGTGCCTGGACGGCTCTCCACCCGGCTATGTGATCGGGAAGGGGAGCGGGAGCGGCGCGGACAAATGGATCGTCCACCAAGGAGGCGGCGGTTGGTGCTCCACCGTAGAGGAGTGCCTGCTGCGAACCAAGACGTTGTTTGGGTCGTCTGGTCTGTGGCCCGAGACTTTCCATTTTGGGGGCATCTTCTCCGACAATGAGACGGTAAACGGAGAGTTCTACAACTGGAACGTTGTCTACCTTGGCTACTGCGACGGAGGCGGCTTCTCTGGTTCTCTGTAAGCGCATGACTGAGCTAGCGTATATAGATAATCAAATTGGCTATGAATTATTCACGCCCCAGTAAAGATCCAGTCGTGGTGAACGCCACTACACTATACTTCAGGTGTTGTGGTTTCTCTCTACGCCCTGGCGTGCCTGTGTGTATGATGAGTCTTCAATTACAGGGGCCTGCCAATATTTCTGACACTCGTGCAGCATCTACTGGACATTGGAATGGAGAATGCAACAGACATTATTTTGACTGGATGCTCAGGTGACTTCATAATCCAAAAAAACTTGGACTTACATGGCTATTGTTTTTATGCAGCTGGGGGTGTGTCTACCTTCCAGCATGCAGACCTCATGTCAACTCTTATTCCTGCTGGTGCTAATTACAGGGCAATGGCAGATGGAGGGTAACGGAATGACTCGATCTGTGGCATGCAAACCTGACTGTAATTATTATTTTGTCACAGGTACATTCCAAATGTGAATAGTATTAATGGGCTAGGATCATTCGGTGACTATATGAAATTGGGTGAGATACAATTCAGATAATAGATTTCATGACCCTCCAATCATGGTTTCTCAGTTCATGCTCTTCACAATATGAGTGGAGGTTCGGACCAGGACTGTATTGATAACTACAGTACAGATGAGGAGTGGAAGTGCTCACTCGCTCCCGTGAGAAGTTCCCATTACTCTCTATTACATAACCTGAATAATATCCCTCAGTACGCAGTTGGATTTCTCAAGACCCCAATATACATCATCAATTCCATCTACGATGAAATCATATTGGACCTAATCGTCGGCCTTAAATGCCTTCCTCCATCAGATTGCAGTGAAGAAGATACTAAAATCTTTGAGAATTACCGAACGGTAGGTAGATAACCCTCACCTCTCGGAGGGTACAATTACAACATGTGTCTCTCTCTGATGGTTTGTGTGCAGGAGTTTCTGGCCCAGCTAGCTCCGGCGGTGAACTCATCTGCGGGGATATTTGCCGACTCATGTGTGATCCATTGTCAGACGCTCATGGATGAGCCGTGGTCCACTTACTCCATTGACGGCAAGACCACCAGGGAGGCCTTTGAGGAGTGGTATTTTGAGAAAGGCAGTGGTGATCATCAGAGGATTGACTGTCCCTTCCCCTGTAACCCCTCCTGTCCTCTGGAGAGCCCCACTACTGGCACTAGCAGTAGTGGTGTAGTAGGAGGTAGTCTGGGCCTCACTGCAGCACTTCTTATCCTCCTCACCTTGACCTGAACTGAATTCACGTGTGACCCACAGCCATAGGCCCATAATAATTATCACTAAGTACGGTAGTAGTTAGTATAATATAGGGATGGGCATGGTACCTAGCATCATAGATGTATACTAGTATATAGCAATGTGCAGATATTTTTGCAATTTGTTCAGAGAATGATTGGTGTGTCTTTACCACAAAGATATGCATACACAACCCTTACCTGTCACTCACTACTATACGGTGGAAATTTGTGTATTGTACTCGTAACCTGCCGTGCTTGCAAAAGATGTTTGCTCTTTGTAGCACTGCCCATATATAGTAAGACTGAGTTGCATGTGACGACGACCCCGCGGGGTGGTACACCTACGCAACTAAGCACGCATGCGTAATTTCCACTTCACCTCACTGGGTGGGCGGCACCTCAGTTCTCGATCTCCAGCTCCTTTAGTAAGTGCAACTGACAACATGTCGAGGATCGCTGCTGCAGTACCGTTGTTTTTGGCCTTGCTCGCCGCCGCCTGCGACGCAAGAATCATGCAGCGAGTTCTTGTCATGGATGCAGCGAACAAGGTAACCGCCCAGCTCAGTCCTCTGTAGGGGCTCAGCGCGACTCAGTCCGCCATGCATTTAGGAAGCTGTGTGTCTAGACGGCTCGGTCCCGGGTTATTTTATTGGTAAGGGAAGCGGGAGCGGCGCCAATAAGTGGATCCTCCACCAGGAGGGCGGAGGATGGTGCTATGACACCGCAGACTGCTACAACCGCAGCAAGACCGCCCTCGGCTCTTCCAACTACTGGATAGACAAAATCACCCTTGGTGGGATCTTCTCGGACGAGGAGTCGGTCAATGGGCAGTTTTACAACTGGAATGTAGTGTTCATGGGCTACTGTGATGGGGGGTCCTTCGCTGGTTACAGGTTTGACTTCCACTTTCAATAAGAAGGCTCAAAACATTCTCCTTTTTTGTCCATTCAGGAAGGATCCAGTTGTAGTTAATAGGACTAACCTGTACTTCAGGTATATAATTATTATACAGAATTACATTGCAGTTATTTGATATTCCCAGGGGCAAGCTAATTTTGGATGCACTTGTTAAACATCTGCTTAGCAACGGAATGGAAGATGCTACAGATGTCATTCTGACAGGATGCTCAGGTTTAAATCAAGCCAAATTAATAATTATTTCTACTCTCACTCCTCTTTACTATAATTATAGCTGGTGGGCTGGCCACTTATCTGCACGCTGATTATGTGCCTACTCTACTACCAGATGGAGTCAACTACAAAGCCATGGCTGATGCAGGGTATAATCGTGCTGGGTTTTCTGGTCTTTAAACAACACTCCCAATGTAGATATTTCCTGAACATCCCAAATGTCCAAGGTGTCATGTTGTACGAGTTCTACATGCAGGCTGGTGTGTAAAACTTAAGAATTTCTGGAATGTTTGATGACTTGCGATGTAACCTTGTTCGCAGTCAACACTCTTCACAACATGACTGGAGGCTCAAACAAAGACTGTGTAGCTCATTACCAGGATGTAGAAGAATGGAAATGTGTATTTGCTCCGGTAAGACCAACACTATTCTACTCAAGACTATTTTATATAATGCTTCATTTTCTGCAGTACACGTTTCAGTTCATCAAAATGCCACTGTTTATACTCAACTCTCTCTACGACACGGCCCAGCTGAATAGTATCTTGGGACTCAAGTGCCTCCCTCCAAACTGTGATGCCGAACAGATGAAATTCTTTGACAACTTCAGAACTGTAGGTCCAAACACTAACACACTACTTTATACTCAGACCCTACATGACTGTGTGCAGCAATTTCTGGAACAACTGGCCCCAGCTAGGGGATCGTCCTCCACGGGGATATTTGGGGACTCTTGTCTGATCCACTGCCAGACTCTGGAGGACACACCCTGGGCCACGTATGCTGTAGGAGGACAGACCATGAGAGAGACCTTTGAGGCCTGGTATTTCCAGACTCGTGCAGACTACAAGGAGGTGGATGGCCCGTTTCCTGACAATCGTAGTTGCCCTGTTGCCAAGAGGATGTTTTTTAAGCTTTTTATGTGACAGTATATAAAAGGAGTGTGAGGTTACAGTAACTGTATAATAGTATTTTTGCACTGTCATGGTTTTATTGTGTGAATATTCCTTTTGGCTGCTGGTAGCTAATGCACGGTGTATTCACGGATTATAAAGCCAGCCACGCAGAAATTTATGAGTTGCACGCGGAAAGATGATGCTGGGCGTGTTACTCTTAGCTCTGGTGGGGTTGACTAACGCTAGGAACCTGTCGCTGGTGCTACTGGATAATGCCTCCAGCGAGGTATTTTGGCCGCGAGCGTGATCTACTATAATATACGCATGAGCACTTTGCCCGCGCGCAGGGAGCCGTTTGCCTGGACGGCTCGGCTCCGGGTATATACATCGGGAGAGGGAGCGGGAGCGGCGCTGACAAGTGGATCCTTCACCAGGGAGGCGGCGGGTGGTGCTACAGCGACCAGGACTGTCTCGAGCGAAGCAGGACATGGTTCGGCTCATCCCGTCCCTGGAACAGCTCCGTGGAGGTCGGCGGCATATTCTCGAACAATCAGAGCATCAATGGCGAATTCTACAACTGGAACGTGGTTTATCTCATGTATTGCGACGGAGGCTCCTTCTCCGGCTACAGGTATTCAACCATACTTATTAGCTACATCTTTTTTATGTTTTATTTTTGTACCAGAGAAGAGCCAATTGTTGTTGGAGGAACAAAACTCTACATTAGGTTAGTTTGCTGTAGTCGTAACTATCTGCAGTATGCGGAGTAGTTGCACGAAGAATCTTGGTGTATTTACTGCAGGGGGAAACCAATACTACTTGCTATAATTCAGCACCTCTTACAAAACGGAATGAAAGACGCGACTGATGTAATATTGACTGGATGTTCAGGTGATCAATCTCTCTCTCCACACACTGAATCAGTGTAACTTAGTCTGCATTTAGCTGGTGGTCTGGCCACCTACCTGCATGCTGATATGATTCCTGCGCTCCTGCCAAAGAGAATCAAGTTTAAAGCGATGGCTGATGCAGGGTAGGTCTGCAGTGGTGTCGGTCCGATCCATCATGCATAACTGCTGCTGCATGCCATTTCCAAAACATGCCTGCAGTTACTTCTTGGATATTCCAACTGTCACTGGAGAAATGTGGTTTCGTGAGTACATGCAAGCTAGTAAGCATATATACTATGGACTTGATTGTTTGCTAACAGTACAGGCACTCCACAACACTAGTGGAGCGTCCAACGCTGATGCGTGAGCCGTTACCAAGGCAGCAATGAAGAGTGGAAATGCTTCTATGCTCCAGTATGTTGACCAAACATTAATAGTGAAAACACAATATTATGTTCTATCTTTCCAAACAGTACACTCTCCCATTTATTAAGAACCCCATATTTGTCCTGAACTCCCTCTATGACATCATACAACTCCACTGCAACTACCAATTGGACTGTCTCCCTCCCAAATGCAACGATGAGCAGATGAAATTGTTTGATGCCTTCCAATCAGTGAGATTTAGCCACACCCAAAACATGTACAACATCTTCTGAACACAGAATTCCTAGCTCAACTGGAACCAGCCTTCAACTCGTCCTCCACGGGAATATTTGGGGACTCTTGTCTGATCCACTGCCAGACTCTGGAGGACACACCCTGGGCCACGTATGCTGTAGGAGGACAGACCATGAGAGAGACCTTTGAGTCCTGGTATTTCCAGACTCGTGCAGACTACAGGGAGGTGGACTGTCCTTTTCCCTGCAACCCGACCTGTCCAGCTAGTCTGGAGACGCCAGTCGGTGGGCAGAGTCCCGAGTTTAGCATCCCTCCTCCACCAGCTAACTGCACACCTTATAGTAGCAACCATTTATAGATCTAGTTTGGACAAAGTGGTTTCATAGTTGTGGTAGTAATTCTTGGTAGACGCGAACGAAGCAGACAACGTAAAGGGGAGAGAGACGATGGCGGGTCGGGAAGCGCACAGTGAGAGCGAGGATTCTACCTCCGAGACGGGGCATCTCTTCGCGAGCCCTAATGACGAGGGAACGAGACGAGGGAGGAGAGGAGGGGAGAGGCCTGCCCTCCAGCGACGTCTCTATCGTTTCAGGTGGTGCGGGAGCCGAGGTGCGCTGATGGTGCTGGCCTGGAACTTCCTGGTGTTCAGCTACCAGTACAAGATAGTGAGCATTCTCTTGGAGCTCTTTCCCGGCTACCGCGAGTGGAGCCCCTGGAGAAAGATGAGTGCATCTCTCGGTCTGGACTTCTCCCTGCCCCTCCTCCTCTACCCGCTCGCTGGCTGGCTGGCAGACGTAAAGCTGGGCAGATACCGAGTCCTGAAAGCCAGTCTCTGGATCCTGTGGGCCTCTGCCGTTGTCTTGCTCGTCTACCTCCTTGTGAAGGAGGCCTATACTTTCCAGGTTCTTTCAGCAGACAGACAGTACATCCTGATACTACCTATAGGGATCATATACATAGGGAACACCCTGGGCCTCGCTGGTTTTCAAGCCAATATAATCCCATTTGGCATCGACCAGATGGAGAACGGCTCAGCCGAGCAATACAGCTCTTTCATACACTGGTACTACTGGACCCGCAACTTTAACGTCGGACTTGTTCTGGACTACTTCCTCCACTCTGTGATAAACCCATGTCCAAAGTCCCCAGAGGACCTCTCGTGGCTCAGACTGGTTGTTCTACTAGGGGAAGTTGGTCTACTTAGTCTGGCTCTCTTCCTGGACATGTTTTTCTCCCAGGCACTGGTAAAGGAACCCCAGGCAATCAACCCCCTGAAGACAGTGGTGAAAGTCACGGGGTTTGTTGTTCATCATGGCAAGCCAGTGGGTCAGCGCAGCGCCCTCACCTACGAGAGAGGCTACTACTCTCGCTCGGATCTCGCAACCATTCCCTACGGAGGACCGTTTGAAGTCGAAGATGTAGAATCCGTCAAGACTTTCTGGAGAATGATCGTCTTCCTGGGAGCCGTGTCATCTGCTATCATCCCCATCTACACCGTATGTTTTCAATTTCACTATAATAATTATAATTATATTAATAGATTTCTTTGAATGCAGGTAAATGAAGAACTGTCCACTCTTGTTGGACCTCACCTACCTGCTGACCGATGCCCTCTCACTTACTTTGTGTTGAATGTGGCAAATCCACTGATCTTTGCCGTTGTTTTGCCACTCCACGAGCTAGTGGTATACCCAGTCTTCCACAAGTACATCCTGTCAATGATGAGAAGGGCTGTGGTGGGATATGTGCTGGGTGTGGCAGCTGTAATTGGAGCAACAGTCGTTGCAAGTGTTTCGAGCAGGTCGTTTTGCTCGTTCTTCACGGAACAAGGAGAGTTTTCTGGCCTCCACGAGTGGATGGTCTTTGTACCAGTCCTTGTGTCCACGTTCTCAGAGATGCTGATATTTATACCAGGTAAGAGCTCTAGTAGATATAGCATTAAAAGATATCCCTCTGATAATTCTTTCCCTGAATACAGCTTTCGAGTTTGTGTGTGCCCAGTCTCCCTACAACATGCGTGGACTCCTCATCGGACTCTTCTATGCAATGATGGGCCTAGCTGCAGGTCTGTCTGCCCTTCTACTCCTCCTTTTTGCCGAGATCTTCGCAGGAAACACCGAGGAGCACGGCTTCTTCAAGTGTGACTCTTGGTTCAATGTTGTCATTCTTCTCCTGACCGTCGGGGGGTGTGTGCTCTTCTGTGGTGTGGTAAAGTGGTACAGGAAGAGGGAGAGAGACTACCTCGGGAGGGAGTACGTCAATCACAGAGCCTTACTGGAAGCCTATTACGACAGATCTAAATAGTATCTAGGAGTGTGTTTCATCCTTTGCCGTGAATAGCTGCGATGTCAGATCCAGCATTAATATCCACCGGTAGTGTGCATGCTCCGCGCTCCGCGGAGCATGGTGCGCATGCGTGGAAAGTTTTACTTCGCCCCGCGCGTCCGGCGGCGACTCCGGCAGTCGACGGAAAGATGCACACCCCCGTGTCGTACGGCACTGGCAGCTCCCTCTGGTCCACTAATGCAGGGAAACTGGCCGGCGCCAGCAGTAGCAGCAGCGACTGCGCGGAGCGGAGTACGTGCGCGAGCATCAGACTTCCGTCTCTGTCACTGATGGAGAGCGACCCGGTCTACGCACCGCCTGGCGGCGTCGTGAGGGAATACCAGCAGGCGGGCTGGAAACAGGACCGCTCGCCCATCGTTTGTTCATCATCTCTGGAACCTGACGGACATCTGTACCGGAGCGAACGGCCGCAGAGCGCCGCGATGCAGGCCAGGCCGCCGTGCTGCAAGTGGTACCATCGCTACTTCTTCGCCAGCAAATCCCTGGTCCTAGTCCTCGTAATCAACGCTCTCTTCTCCACGGCCCTCTACGGCGTGTCGTCCGAGGTCCTGAAGCTGGTCATCGGACCAGAATTCGTGCTGGCGAGGAACCTAGTGATCCACGGAGTAACGCAGATCCTCTTCCCCGTCGCTGGCCACCTCGCAGACTGCTACGTCGGTAAGCACAACGTCATCAGGTTCAGTCTCTGGGTTGGCTGGGTGGGGTTCGCCGTCATGGGGGTCTTCTTCTCTATTGAGACATTCGATGATAGACTCAGTACCCTCAACCAGTTCTTTCTCATGCCGCTAACATTCATCCTCCTCAGCGTCTCTTACATTAGTTTCACTGCCACCATCATCCCATTTGGGATGGACCAATTACAGGGAGCCTCTCATGTACACTACCGCTCATTCTTCTGTTGGTGGTACTGGACTATGAACGTGGGAGTCATAATTGTCAATGTCCCGCAGTACTGCCAGACCAGGACTGAGATGGGAGTCACCATACAGGCAGAGATTGGCGTCGTCTGCCTCAGTCTTGCACTCATTCTCGACGCCCTGTTCAAGCACTGGTTTACCATTGAGCCCAAGAGCTCTCGAAACCCTCTCAAGCAGATATTCAGAATTCTGCTGGAGATGAGGGGAGGGAAGAGGGCTCACTGGATTCCGAGCTCGGTGCGCCATGAACTGGACCTGCGCAGACTCAGTCGACTGGACCTTGTCAAGAGACGCTATGGTGGAAACTGCGAAACGGAGGAAGTGGAGGACGTGCGGACCTTCTTTCGCATGCTACTGGTTTTGTGTGCTGTGGGTTTGCCCATCTTCTCATATGCAGGGGTAATACCTTTTTCTTCCAAATTCTCTCTTTCTGGACACAGAATACCATTTTTTTGTTCCATGGTATTCCATGTATATAGGATGATTTCTCAACTCTCTTTTCACACTGCCATGTCAAAGGATGTAGAGTAGTGAATGGGTCTGGAAAAGCAATCTGTAGGGGGCACCTATATGGCAGGTGCCTGTGTGGGGACTGTAGGTGCTTGACATTGCTACCAATGACTGTGAACATACTCTGACCTAGTCACCTGCAACAGTGTCTGCACTGCAAGCGTATGATCTTAACACTGCTGGCCATATAATTCTCCATCCCCCTTTTCTCTTACTCCTTTCTCCCTCTGTGAAATTATTAGGTGTTTGGCAGTGTGGGAGTGATGGCCAGTCACATGAACATGAACATTGCCACACTTAGACTGAAAACTGAGGTCTGTGGAATCGAGGTAACAGTGACTGACGGTATCAACGCTCTCCTGATTCTCACCATTATCCCACTTCTTGACCTCGTCCTCGTACCCATGCTCCGGAACTGCTATGCCACCATTCTGAAGAGACTTGGCTTTGGAGCGACGCTCGCCTTTCTCAGTATCGTAGTTCTCTTTCTGTTTGAAGCGGCGGGGCGACACAGCAGCGGAGACCAGGTCTGTATGTTCCATGCCTCCAGCAGAGAGCAAGGCCAGCTCCACATCAGTGTGTACTGGGTACTCCTTCCCCTAGTTATGGTCACCATAGCTGAGATCTTCATTTATATTCCAAGTAAGTTGCTATATTGTATAAAGTGAGTACATTCTAGCAAGCAGAAGAAGCAAACAACACTGTCAACACCTTCAAACTTCAATGACTGTCTTCATGCATGAACACTTAATGCATAAAATTTGAGGAACTGTTGAGTGATACGTTTTCTCTGTTGCCTGCAGGTTTCGAGTTTGTCTGTGCCCAGTCCCCATACAACATGCGCTGTCTCCTCATTGGGATCTTCTTCTCAGTCCAGGGCACCTTCTCCCTTCTCTCTGTCCTCCTCCAGTACACCTTTACCTGGAGCTCCGTCTACTCACATCCCTTTAGAGGCGTCACCGGTTTCACCTGTGCCTTTTGGTACTACTTCATCTACGTCTGCGTCTGTCTCTTTGGTCTCCTCCTCTACTTTCTCGCGGCCTACCGCTACAAGCGACGAGAGAGAGACGACGTCTTCAGTGACATGAGAATGATTGAAGAGTTTTTCCACGCTCACGGGGAAATACCTCACACTTTCTCTTAATCCCCCCTCGGCCCCCTTGTCTCTTTTTCTCTCGTTGTTTGCGATGATTCAGCACAATTTGTGTGTTTGTTTGCTTGTGTGTATATTATATAGATGGTGTGAGTGTGATAGTAGTGTGTGTGTTTCTATGCATAGTGATGTGTGATTTTGATGCTCTCTATTATTATTATTGAAACAGAAATGTCCTTGCTCCCACCGAAAAGGAAGAAATTTGTCTTCGTAATTCAACAGCCAGTGCGCATAGGGGGCAGTGTCTGTCAGACACACCTGCTGTATTCAGGGCTCAATAGCTGGAACACTGCCCTCTCTATGGGGCTGAACACACTCCATATACAGCAGAGTCAGGCAATGCACAACATCTACACTACATTCTGCAAGCAGCAGCAAGGGATCGAGGCCAGTACAACCGTCACTTTCTCAGTTACCGCGCTGTTATAAGTCAGCACACAACCTATATAGCAGTTTGCTTTTCTTGTGCAATTGACAAAACAAACATCGCCAAAATCTGATTTTTTCATGAATATAAGTGGCACTGTTCTGCTATCTTTCTGCGTCCATATCTTCTTCGTGTGTGTCAGGAGGGGACTGCTTTCCGTCAGTACACCACTCAGGCTCTTCAGCATCAAAGTAGGCATCCTCGCCATCTTGCTGCTGAGTCTCCACACTGTCATACAGCTCATCATGGTCCACGGAGCTGTAGTCAAACCCGGCATCCTCTCCTCTCAGGAAACTGAGCTGCATTGCCTGGAGAAACTCCCTCCTCATTTCCTTCTTTGTCTCCTCTGAGGCATCTTCCACCCTCTCCCTCTCACTCTCCTCTCCACTAGAACTATCCTCTTCCTCCACCACCTCTTCCTCTCTCTCTCTCTGTTGCCTCTCTCTCTCCCTCCTCTCGTCCAGCCTCATTCTCGTCATGATGAAAGAAGAGAGAGTCATGTCCGACGTGCGTCCTCCGTCGAACTCGGCCAGCTCTTCCTCAGTCATGTACTGACCCACATACTGCTGGAACAGTAGCGGGTTTCTCGTCCTCATCTCATCCTGAGAGAAATAGTCGGTTTTCTCCATCAGCTCCTTCATGCACTGGTAGCGCCTGTTGCTCGTCCTCTGCCGTCTGTTCTCGGGGACCAGATCACTCGCCAGGTGCCTCACTCTGAACTGAACCTCATAGTCAGAGCTCCCGGAGAAGAAGGCCAGGTCAGTCTGGTCCAGAACCCTCCCAAACCTCATTAGGAAGACCCCAGGTTTTTCCAGGAGGAAAGAGAGGTAAGACACCTTCTCTTCCTCTGACAGGTCAGGCTCTCCTTTCTGCTGAGGCTTTATGGTCAGTCCAGACCCCAACACCTTCTGGAATATTCTCCCCCGGGGGCTCCCCGGGGGCTCAATTTTAGACCTTGTTGCCGGGGTAGCTTCGGCCATTACGTAATTTATTTTTAACCCTCTCCCGCCGCCACGTGCAAAAACTGCGTGGAAAAGCGAGGAAGACCAAGTGGAAAGCTTTTTGAAGTCATGGCAGAGGCTCCAAGCCATGTGGACGTCTGGCTGGGCTCGTCTCTGGGCTTGATGAAAGGTGAGGCGAACAGGCGACTCTGGTACCAGCCACGCTCACAACACGTGCACCATCTTCTCCTAGGCGTTACTCTGGACCCTCTGCGCTGCACCAACTACCTGCCGGGCGGCCTGAGTGTCTCCCAGACCGACAAGAACCACGAGATGCTGTGCATGTGTCGACAGAGGGAGACTCTGTATGTTGGACTGAGGAGAGGAGTCGTTCAGGCCTTCGACTCCCAGCTGAAGAGATTCACCTTGGAGTGTGACGTCACTTCCGGTGTAGGGACCCTAGTGGGCGTGGCAAGACATGATCAGTAAGTCATTCTTTTCTTGTTTCACTAAGTGATACCATCTTCCTCTAGGATCTTGATAACCTGTACTGATAGAGGCTCGCTCTCATTTTGGCCTCCAGAGGAGAAAAAAGGCGCGGCTGCGTCGCGCTCCCACGCGCTCACTCGTGTGAGCTGCGCTCGACGTGCGACGCTCATGACGCGAGCTGCGCGCGTCCCCGTCGCGCGAGCTGCGCGCACAGCTGCGACTGCGTGGGAGCGCAGCGCGCTGCTCGGAGCTCCCACGCTCTGCGTGCTCGACCCGTGCATCCCCTCTCGCATGCGTGCTCCTCCCCTCGATACTCTTCTCCTATCCTCTCTCCTTCTCTTCCCTCCCTCTCTCCTTCTCTCCCTCCTCCCCTCTCTCCTTCTCTTCTCCTCCCCTCTCTCCTTCTCTCCCTCCTCCCCTCTCTCCTTCGTTTCTCCTCCTTCCTTTCTTCTCCTCTTTCTACACCCTTTCTACCTGCTAAACACCGGATGTTGTCTGTCTCGTGTGCAGTGGGAGAGAGAGGTTGGGAAGGAGACGTGTTGCATGGCTGTCACCGACTCCCCTGACTCCCGAGTGGCCACTGGAGGGAGAGAGAACCCACTGAAACTGTGGGACACAAGTCAGCTATCTCACACTCCAATATTTACCGCCAAGAACGTCAGTTTTTTAAATGTCTGTACATTTTTGACAAGAGAGTACTGAAGTACATGTCGATACAAGTCTTGTATCGACATGTGTTTCAGTACGGAATTGTACTGAGATTGTTGGTGTGCAGGTGAGACCAGACCGGCTTGGTCTGCGGGTACCAGTGTGGGTTAACAGAGTGGTCTTCAGTCCAGACCACAGCGGTCCCCAGTCCATTCTGGTGACGGGAACGGGGTACGGGGAGGTGAGAATGTACGATACCAGGGCCCAGAAAAGACCTCTGCTTAGAACTGAGTATGGGGGTGAACCCATCACTGCTCTTACCATGTCACCAGATGGCAGGTATATACATATGTCATAGAGTTGGTCATGTGAGCATCATGTGACTGTCATGTGACCCTCCAGGTATTGTGTGGCAGGGAACAGTGTAGGGGAGCTGGTAAGGTTTGACCTGAGGGCAGGGGGAGGTGTGGCTGGGAGATACAAGGGGTTTGGAGGGGGAGTGACAGCAGTGGATGTCAGTGGAGATGGTTCAATTCTGGCAGCTTGTGGTCTGGACAGGTACCTCAGGACCTACTCTCTGGACCGGCCTAAACTACTGCATCAGGTAGTTAGTAGCTTTAACCTGTGTATATTGCAGGTATGTGCCCGACTTGAAACACAGGCCAAAAAATTCGCACAGCTTTCACCAACAAAACCCTTTAGAGATGTTCTCGCAGTGCGTCTATGTATGTGTACGATGCAGTGTTAAAACTTCTGCAGGTTTATGTGAAGTTGCAGTGTCGCTGTCTAACAATCGGTGAGAACTACCCTCGAGCCAACGATGGTGGAGAGGTGCAGAGTGAGGGGGAGAAGGAAGGTGATGACAGTGACGAGGAAGATGTATGGGCATCAATGGCCACAGTGGGAGAGACCACAAGAACTGGTAATTTGAGAAATGAAAGAACTAACATCCTAAACCCTTTGTCCTTCCCTCTGCATGTACACGAGAGTTAAATGCCAAGACTGTGGATTGTAGGGTGTCACTATTGTCGTTTGTTCTCATTCAGTTGAAGGAGTTGGCAAGAGAAGAGCTCGGGGTAGTCCTCCTGCCAGCAAGAGAGGAAGACCTGACAACTCTCCTAGTCAGCAAGCTAGCAAACTCAACAGACACTCTAGTAGTAAGTCCTGATATGGAAGCCAATTTATATACACATAAATCTCATGATATGATAGTCTGTGTGCTGCGTGCATGTGACAAGCACGTGACTAAGAGTCAAAAGAAGTTGTAGCTGTCTCCAGCTCATCTCCATTTAAATCCTCATCCTTTTTCCTTCTCCATCTCCTCTCCCTGAAAATCAGCCATCATAGAACTCACCCTAATATAACTACTAACTATATAAATGTCCTCACCTCAGCTTAGTGTGTATAAGGGCTCCTGTTGACCCTATAAAGGTCTGTGTCCTTGTGATAAGCAGGGCCACCCAGGCAAGGCCCACTATCACCCACGCTGCAGCGCAGGTGCGGTATAATGCATTGGTCTCTGAAGACGTCGCTCTGGCTGGAACAAAGTCCCCAAATCCAACAGTTGTTAGCGTCACGAAACAGTAGTACACGGATTCTCCGTATGTCCATCCCTCGATGTCAGAGAATATGATGGACGGTATGAAGACGAAGAGGAGGAGGCCCAGGATGAAGAGAGATAGGGAGACAAGTCCCAGAATTTTCTTTTGGTGTCTTGCGGGTTTGGTCTTTGTTTTTCTGGCCACGCAATGAGTAATGTGGTCTATGTACATAGAGAGAAGGTCCCCCACGTGGCTCAGGAATACCAGACAGATTGGGATCCCGATGAGGGCGTAGAAGACGAAGAGGGTGCGCCCCGCGCCCGTCACCGGAGCCGTGTTACCGTAGCCTGTGGGGAGAGGGGTTAGCGAAGAGCCGAATGTGCTGGTTTACTCACCAATGGTGGTGACTACCGTGGCGCAGAAGGTGACGGAAGAGCTGTAAGTCCAGAGGGGACTCGACTCCGCCGGCAGCTCTTGCGAGGCGAGGGCGAGGGACGCAGAAACGTTCGCTAGTCGACCGATTAGCTCATCGGCTTCGCTTTCCGTCAGCGTCTCGTTCCGTGCCGTGAGCTCCGCGATGACGTTGTCCCTGGCCTCGTCCAGCAGTCGCCGCAGTTCCTGTCGCTGGGCGGCGGCCTGAGCCACCGATTCCTCCTCGTTCGGTCTCTCCGCCAGAGTGAAGACGAGTCCCCCAAGCAACAGATACACCACCCACACGATGAACCAGGTCAGCGTCTTCCAGCCGGGTCCCCACGAGCAGAGAGACCTCCTCGTACACTTCCTAGGGTTCTCCTCTTCCCTCTCCTCCTCCGCGTCTTCCATGGTGTGTAGGGCGGCGTCCAGTAATAGCCCCACCCATCTTTTTTGCATAATGACACGCATGCGCAGCTTCTATGCTCTCGTCACTTGGCATTGACACTAAGGTGTAGCCGTAGATTTGCAGTTGAAAGAGACGACACGTATCCAGCCGATGAAGATAGCCGTGAAAAAACTGCTGGAAAGTTGACAAAATTTCACCGCCAAATCCCCGACCGTCTGCCCCGCCCCCTTCTCTCCAGTCGGGCGGTAGTCGCGACGTGTCATCATGAGCTCTACTGACTCTGGTCGCTGCCTCTTCGCAGACCAGTTGTAAGTCATGCAAATTCCGCATGTATATACAGAGTATGCAGTACACTCTGCGAAACTATCGTGCGGAATTTGTTGTAACCCATGACTCTGCGATCGCCGCTGCAGTTGGTACGCAGGAGCCATCAGCGAGAGAAGATGCGAAGAGATACTAGCCAAGACGGGCAGCCCAGGAGCGTTCTTAGTGCGAGACTACCTTCTCCCTGGAGCCGAATACAACTACATTCTCTCTGTCTTGTAAGTCCCTTCAACTTACCATAGTCCTGTATTGTAAGATAAATAATGGGTATCGATGATTGGGATAAAGTGTAGTTTTAGTGGTGCAAAAGTTAGAGGTACTGACCGAGGCAGATAAATAAGGTTGCCATGACTAACAGAACTTCCACCTAATGAATCTTTCAGTGAATTTCCCAACGTGGTTCCGTTCCCAGCAGTATTCATGACATAACAGGTCGATATAGTATGTCCCACCTATGAATACACCACGTAGTGCTGGCCCATATCATACTGTACTGTCTTCCAGGGGTGAGTGATTTACAGAATGTGTAACCAACTGCCAATGGTTCAGAACACATAAAGCGACATTTCTAGTCCATTTCCTCTCTCTGTCGTCTCATGTATTAGCTATCCTCTCGTCATTACTCCTCTTTCTCTCCCATTTCTCTATTTCTTTCTCCTAATGTATAATTATATCCTCTTTCTTTCCTCAGTACAGGGAGGGAGATACTGCACTATGATGTGACTGTTTTCCCAACTGAAGAGTGCGAGTTAAACGGCTACTCATTCACCAGTCTTCCCGAGGCCATCGCCTTCTACACCGACAATAGACTCAACGACCACTACCTTTCTCTGCCTGTATGTATGTAGATACTAATTTCTATGTAATTTCAGAGTAAATACAATTGAGCTATATACAGTGTCAAGAGTTTTATCTCCTACTGTTTCAGGAAAGACCGGTGGTTGCTGAAATTGTTCATAGAGGGACAACACCGAAAAACATAGCAACCCAGCCAGCCCCTCCCCCTCGTTCCACGCCACTCCAGGTGCCAGAGCAGCAGTCGCAGTGTGCAGACATAATGTCTGTGCTTCCTTCGTCATCCCCCCTCCCCTCCTCCGCCTCCCTGGAGGAGAACTCGGGCAGGTGGGGACCGGCCAGTAGTGGAGACACCTCAGCCAATAGCTACAGTCTTCCAACAACGTCCCACATTGCTAATGAGAGTCCCAATAACCAACAGGATCTCCCGAGTTCAGTCCCAGATACAACTACCAGTGTTACTGGAGCTGACAAGAAGGCTCCCGAGAATGCCACCACTGCAGAAAGCTCATCAAATAATCCAAATTCCCCGTTCGATGATGTCATATCTTTCTCAACCTTCCACCCTGCTCCCAGCAGCCGAGGAGAGCCTGCGAACGTTGAGAACACGTCTCCCTCTGTACTGCAGTCCCCAGAGCCACCCCAGGCAGCTCCAGTAGACGAGGGTAAGCAATCTCAACTGGTGGGAACTTCTGATGGTGGATCTCAACAGATTCAGCCAAACGGCTCAGAACAGAGAGAGACTGGGCAAGGTCGAGCTCCGCCGCCCGTACCAGTGAGAGGGTCCTCTGTGTTGGTAATGACAGCGGAACCTCTTCAGGGAGAGAGGGAGGAAGAGTCTGCAAAGTCTCCCAGTCAATTGGAACCAGTGAGAACGGAGGAAATCTCTACAGCAGTGAGCAGCGGTGGGTCGCTGGGGAACGAGGATCTGTCTGAGGCTCGCAGGAAGCTGAAGCGTATCCCCTCCATCCAGGAGAGGAAGAGACGGCTGGAGGCACAGGTGAACACTGCTGGCACACCACAGAGCCAATCAGCGGGGGAGAAACCTGGTCGTTTAGTCATTAGCGAGGCTCTTGGGGGTGTGTCTGCTGGCATGCCAGGCTCCCAGCATCCTCTGCTGGTAAAGAAACAGGAAGAGGCAGCGGCGAGGAAGAGGGAGGAGAGGGAGCGAGAGGAGCAAGAGAGGCTGGAGATGGAGAAGAAGGAGAAGAAGGAGAAAGAGGAGAGAGAGAGGATAACTCGAAGGTTTCCCTTCAAGAGGTCGGTGAAGGGGAAGAAAGAGGAGAAAGGAATGGAGGCAAAGGAGCAGGAGAACAGGCGGTCCATGACAGAGTCCGAGAGAGATGAACTCCAGAATGCTTTCCAGCGTGTCATCAAGAGCAGACCGACCAGCCCCGAGTCTCATTCTCTGGCTCTGGTGGAAGAGGGGCAGCTTGAGATGCAGAGCCCCGCGGAAAAGAAAGACGAAGAAGAAGAAACCAGGAAAGAAGAGGTTGATGAGGGAAAGGTTGACGAGGAAGTGACTCGGCCAGCCGTCACTAACGCAGACCCCGCCCCTCAACCTCCACCTCCCACGTGCCAACCTCCTCCCCCACCACCGCCAAGGTCCGGTGGATCCTCACGATCCAGCACCCTCGATCGCACCACGAAACCACCACCCTCCTCCAGTCCCCCGTCCCTCCCTGGCTCCATCGATAGACGCACCCGGCACGGGAGCAAACCCAGCACACTGGAGAGGACCAGTCGCTCGGGGAGCCGGCCAGGGACTCTGGAGAGGAAGAACCCTCCCCCAGCACCCACCTCCCACCCTCCTCCAGTCCCAGAAGACGTCAGGAAAGAGCAACAGACGAGATGTCAGAGGTTGCCGAGTGTAGCCGGTCACGGATTCTCTGGCGGGAGGCTGGAGCTGGCGGACCTTATTCCAGGAGTGTCTCGCCGAGTTCTCACCGAGCAGACTCCCTCCTCATCCTCCACATCTCCTCCGCGGAGGTACACCATTACCAACGGACAAGCTGGACCCAGCCCAGGACCCATCAACGCCAAGAGGAGTGTCAAAGAAAGGAGATCAAGCAGCAGAAGAGGCCATTTCTAACACTCTCACCTACATTTTCAGCACAACTAGCGCCGATTTTGTCAAATGCAGTAATATTTATACCATGCACACTTATGCTGCCATTTTATGTCTTTCTTATGGATGCATTAACGTTTATGACACCTACAACGATGATGATCCATACACACACACACACGCACACACACAGTAGTGCACACACTTTAACAAGCATAGAGCTAAAAGAAGAGTGGAAGTGTGTTAGGTTTGGGGCGGTTGTGTAGGCACGGCACTGGACACTACGTTTGTGATGAAATCATCGCAGAATGTTCTGGTGATTGGGACACAGTTGATGTAGCTACAGCTGGGGCAGAAGTCGGGATAGGGAAGGTTGTAGAACACCACGAATCCCACCAGAAAGAAGGCTAGGATCAGTGGCACTGCTGTTAGTATGAGGCACAGTTTCTTTGCTCTGTCCCACTTCCCCAGAGTAATGTAAGGGATGAAGATGAAGGAGGAGAGGATTCCGACAAGAAATCCTCCGATCTGAGAGTAGTTGTCAATGTATGGCAGGAGACCTAGAGCTGGGGGTCAAAGGATGGAGCAATGACATCACAGAGTGTCACTACGACTCATTGATGATGTAGCCTCTCACCCAGCATGAAAATGATGAAGATGCAGAGTTTGAGAAGTTCGACGCACGGCCTGCGGACCCAGCGCCATCCCTGCAACAGCTCCACCAGCAGGACTCCAAACAGACCAAACAGTGAGCCTGAGCCTCCCACCTGCGCACACACCAACACAATCATAACACAACCTCTTACAAAAGTGTATAAGTGGCTCTACATTATTTCTGAAAAAGAAATGCGACTTGCTGTGTTGAGAGGCTTACGGATAGAGAAGTAGCTTCGAAAATCCCACTGACTACATATCCTCCAATTCCAGACAGAACGTAGATGAGTGTCACCCTCAGCCAACTGAGAATAGTGTGGTCAATGAGGCTCTATGGGAGGTGTCCTCCTCACCTGATTCTGGTCTCAATCTTCCACATGACTGGGATCTTGAAGAGAGCTATGAGGATCCAGTGAATGATCCCCTCGTACAGAAAGATGGCCGAGAGAAACCGCACCCCCTGCTGTGGGCGGCGTCCAGGAGCTGACCAGGTGAGCTCGCAGATGTCCTTGAAACACTGAGTGCTCACTTCACTACACAACAACTGTGTGACACATTAGCTCTCTTCAATGCTTTTTAACAACATGAAAGAGTTACTGTTTGCTCTCATGCACTGTACATGGTGGAGGTTAAGAGGCTAGAGCTACATACTACTCCAGGTATTAACTCTGGTTGTAGGTACTTTCCAAACGCCGACATTGACAGTCAATGCAGCACCACTTGACCAGTGAATGGAAAAACATATGCCGGAGCTAGTAGCTACATATGTGCCACTCTTTAGTGCTGTACAAGCAAGCGAGAGGTGATTCATTACCTTGTCGGGGTGCCAGTGACCTTTATGGAAGGTGCAGTTCTCCTCTGTGGTCACGACACAGTCACCGAGGAGACCGACGCAGCAGGGATGGAGGACGACTCCACCAGTACAGTACTCGGTGTTGTTCATCTCAGCCTGGCACACACTCTCACCTCCCAGCACCACACTGTTCTCATACATCACTGTACACCTACGAAAATACAGCAGAGTTGGTTTGCATTTATTCTCCGAGACTCTGTATATAGTATAGCGAAACAATTTTGAGGGAGAAGCAAATTTCATTTTTAGCTATCACACAAATGTGAAATTTTTTAGGTGGGGGTATTTGTATGTTGGTGACCAAATATCTACAAACTTTGTCTCTGTAGAAATCACGTTTGCTACCGAAACGCGAATCCCTCTTAAATGTGGTGTATTATGCGGCTTACACTCCCTGGGGTAGCATTCCACACTGAGGTCTGCTGACTGGAGGCCCAAGACAACATCGCAGACTGTTTTCTTCTGCCCTGTCCTGGGCTGCGTCCACCCGGAACTGCACATTGTCTCTCATACACTGAGACACAAGAGATAAATAGACACTCTCTCTCACACACACACTGTGATCATAGTGCAAGACATGAATGAGAGGTATAGGACAATAGTCGTGAAAATGCTTGTTTTGTCACCACTTCTATTTCAGAATAGTTCTCAAGTGCGTTGTCAAATTTTTGTGTTGGTGAAACTCACCGGAGTGTACTTGGCTCCTGCGTGGATCAGACTGCTGCCTGATGGCCCGATGAAGAAATTTGGAACGTCGTGTCTCGTCACAAACTCTGAGTAATTCCCGAACCCCTCAATCACGTCATTCACGATTCGGGGGTTGAAGGAAATCGGGGCGAACCCGTTCTGCACCAGGAGAGCTGTGAGCAGCCCTAGCTCGGCGATAGCAACTAGGACAGTCGCTACGGGCCAGAACTTGGGGAGCGTCTTCTCCACCTCTGCCCGCGACGACGGTTTCCGTCGCCGCTGGAGAGTCAGCGTCGCCGCCAGCCGATCCATCCCGCGCCTGCCCCGCCCTCTTCGCGCTCCGGCTCCTGCAGACTCCGTCGTTTCGCCACCGTCTCTGCGACGGTTCCCGAGCTCTACGGCCGGTCCCGGAGGAGGGTAGTCGTCGGGATCTTGCTGCGGTAGAACTGTGTAGCTCCGGGCTGCCTCGCGCGGCAGAGTCCCCGTCCGCTGCCAACCTGCCGTCTCCATCTGATCGTCACCAGCAACGCCAAACCAGCGGCCCACTGCTCCTCCTAAGAGATAGATGAAACGAGTGAGAGGTGCTGAAATTCTACCCTCAAAGGATTCTGTTAACCTGCCGTCTGAAGAGACTCCACGAACTGGTCTCGTCGGCTGATGGTCGGGTAGAGCTGGTTCTGCTGCGACACGGCATTGTAGCTGGGCGGATTCCCGCTCACCCAGGCAGCCGGGGGAGCCGACGGCTGGACCTCTTCGTTCGCATTACCTCCAGGAGCAGCCATTCAGTCCTGTCTAGCTCTGAGTTTTTCGCAGTCGATTTCGCACGCAGTGCAGTGTCGCGCTCGCGCTGGCCGAAATCTTGCGCAAAACATGTGACTATTGTCACGTGATACTCACCGTATCCAATGGCAACATAAAAAACAAAACGTGCACGATCGCACACAGTATAGTAGTAATGGATAGCGGTAGAGCCACACCGGAGGAGCCTCAGGGAGGGAAGTAAGTAAAGACATGGGTCGACTCTCCGTGCACTCAGTGGTATACACCACTCCCCATATCCCAGTGTCGGAGAAGAGGCTCCTCCCGAGTCTTATCGCTCCAACTCCAAGAAAGAGGAGCTGCTGCTGGGCTACTGCGACAACTTCACCAGACAGTTCAAGAAGTTGTATGGAGACAGGAAACCTCAGTTCTTGCGACCAGTCAACGAGTGTGGCATTGAGGTCTGGTCTTAGCTAGCAACAACAATTGCGTCTACATACTGAAAATGAATGGTGCTAACTGTCATTCAACAAACCACTAAGATTGAAACATGTTCATCTACTGCATGTTGTGTTGTGTTCTGCAGAAGTTTGCGTGCACCACTCTGCGGCCCACATGTCTCCCTTACAAAGAGCTGTATGACTGGGACGGCGCTGCCTCGTTTGTCGCGGGCTACATCACCTGCTCACCTCTCCACCCCCCAGATGAACTGGTAGAACAAAACCCTCATTACTCCCTTATTACTCTCTTTTGGTCTACTCCCCAAATTTACAAACCAAACGGAAATTTAATGGATCCTCCCCAACTGTTCTCAAACGTTTTCCAGAGCAGTGAAACCTTAGAATAAGGGACATCTTGGGGGAAGTGCAAGTGCCCTTTATTCAGAGGCATTCTTTATTTGGAGGTGTGAGGCAGATTAAAGCATTATTTATAGAGGGTCCTTTGTCTTAAGGGTTTCGTTTCCCCTGGCACAGCCCCAACAGCTGTCGTCACCAACCCTGGTCCTCTCTCGTCAAGAAGGCACCAGTTTCGACATGTCGGGACTCCTCTGCTCTCTGCTGGTGGGAGTCGGCTACGACGCCTACTGTGTCAGTGGGTACGCCATGAGAGAGGTCACAGAGGTCGACCAGGGAGGGAAAACCTGTCCGCTTCTTGAAGTAGGGGAGAAGGTGAGGTGAGGTACCTATTGTACCCCTCCTTCAGTAGCAGGTTTATACTTTACTGTTCATTAGCGACTTTATGAAGAGAATGACAGCATCATATGTATTGTGTTTTCCCCTCTGTGTGTGTGTGTGTGCAGGAAGAGGAAGGAGGGGTTGGGGGGAAGCTGTCTCGCTACCTGGTGCGACCTCCACGCGACCTCTCCAGTCAATTCGAGCGCCGACAGGAAACCAAAGCCAGTGCCGAAGAGGAGAGGAAGAAGAGGGAAATTGAAGCAGCGAATGCTCCCGTACGTTAAGAAGGAGCCCCTGTCATAACAAGTGAGAGAGATATCTCTGTGACAGGTCGAGGAAGAGGGAGAGGTAGACAAGTACCATGGACTGCGGGTCCACTGCTGGGTGCTGGTCCTGTCTGGGAAGAGAGAGGTGGCCCAGAACTTCTTCATCGAGGCCACCACCGGTCAGGAATAGCAACCCCTCCTATTACTAGACTCCCACACACTGCATAATAACCTCTGTGTGCATGTGTAGTCTATTACACCAGCATATTAACTGCTGGTTGTTGATCATCTGCTCTATAACAACAGGAGAGAGTTATTCGACAGATTCAGAGCTGTATCTGGGCATAGAGTCACTGTGGAACCACAGGAACTATTGGATCAACATGCAGGACTGCGCTCGGGGGCTCCAGGTCTCTCCTATTGCATCTTATGAGTCTCTAGATTCTTCATTTCCCACGGTCCCTGCAGAATCTGGTGTTTGATTTGGGAGACGCTACAAAGTGGGAGTCCTTCTTTCCCTCTGTGGATCAGCCACTGCTGGTGGTGCCTGAAGAGAGCACCGCCACTCTCGGGGAAGAGAAAGTAATGACTCTCTCTCTCTGCATTGTCCTTCCACTGTTTGTCTCTGTGTCACTGCCCTTTCACTTTTTCTGCTGTTTGTCTGTGCAGAAACCTGATGATAAGGAGGATTTTGAACTGCCTCCATCGTGGGTCCTTCCTCTCCACATCTCCAGCAAAGGTTAGTCTTTTGGTTCAGACCTTCACTGAGCTGTGATGAGCTGACATATTATTATGGGAGGCAGCAAAAAACGGCACTTGAATTTCTCTATCCATCTCTCACATGCTCACATGATACCAGTCTTGCTCTGTGCAAGTTCTCCAAGAAACGCTCTCACGAGGCTTTAGGCCACCCTGTTTTTTTATATAATAGTCTGATTAATGCATTAACTGTGGATACACTGGTTGGTCTGTGGTTGGTCTGACTCTATATACTTCTCTCCAGACTTTGAGACCCGCTGTCCTCAAGGGAAGAAGACGACACTCTACCACAAGTCTCGACTGGAGACCTTCTCTGACTACCTCACCTCAGACGGCCTCGTCTCCCGCCTCTCTCTCTACAGTGACACCGCCAGTGAGGACCCGCCCCCCCTCTAATACCAATGATGTCATCTAATTAGTTGACCTGGTTGGGACAGCGAGATTGGGCGAAATAGGGACACGGCGACCGAATTAGAAGTTGTTTCTTTCTCTTTCCCTACTGGCCCTTCTACAATAGTTTATCCTGTTAACAATGATGTAATGATGATGTAATGCAGGGCGGAGCCGGGTGGAGACGAGGAGTGTGTATCGTCACAGGGAGGACAGACTGGAGAGGAGGGTGGAGGAGGGAGGGAGTGGGCTGGTTCACGAGGAGTTTAGTCTGGGGAGGGAGAGCGCTCTCCGGAGCCACACCCACTCCACCATACATCATCACTCCAGGACGCTGACCTTCTACCACAAGTCAGTCATTACTTACTGATTGAGGGGCTCTGGAATGGGGCCCTAGTCTTTTACTTCGTTAAAGGAAATGTGGCAGTATATCGCATACTTACTTACCCGGAGAAGAAAGCTATCACTTCTCCGGGTTTTTAGGGTTAAATTTAGAAACTTTTACAAACCTAATTGCATTCTTGCATTGGGCCACTTCTATTTTTAGTTTTTCTGCCACTTTCCAATCAAGATCCTCAGCCCCATATATAGTGTTTGCAAGTGCAAATTTGGCTAGTCCCATCATGTCATTAGAACTCATTCTCTGCTGGCAGTGCGAGAGTGGATGGTCTGAGAAGTCGAGAGCTGGCGTCATCAGAGATGGTAGAGGTCTTCCAGGGAAGGCCAGACTTCCTCCACCAGCGCAGCACCGCCTACCTCAAGACCACGCCCTCCAGGAGCTCTGGAGATCACAGGGAGGTCCTGGTCAGCTATTACCTGATTATGGACACTTTGGTGCTAGAAACGTAACGTTGACACATTTCACAACCTTTTGTAATCAAACTTTAAGGCAAAAAACTTTCGTGAATCATGTTAAATGCAACTTCTCAACAGTGTTTGCTTAGCGTGTAGTGTGCTAAAAAACTAGCTCGCAAAATTCAAAATGTAAGCAAGTCTATTATAATGTATATACACTGTCTCATCTCTCCGATCATCTGCAGAGGATAGTGGAGAAGTTCCACCATGACCCGTCCCTGCCCCCCAACTCTGCCGTGGCTGAGAGAGTGTTCAGTCTGAAGGAGCCGTCGTCCATCCGAGTCACCTACCACCTGGAGCCAGACAGAATCACCGCCTCTCATCGCCTCTTCCTCACCCCTCCCCACTCTCAGGAACAGGGATACAATCTCACCTTTGACCCCAACGCCATCTCTGGATACCAGGTACCCTTCGCGTAATATTGAAATGTTTGCTTCGCTTGCCAAAAATACGTTGCATTCCTCTAGTTTTCCCTCTATACCATTTGTAATACACCAGATAGTGAGTGATGTTGGGGTATGGATAGCTTTCTTCACAGGGATGCGATGTTCTTGTGGTTACTGCCATACAGTATTTCTCTATCACAGTTTCTCCTCCTCTCTCTCTCTCTCTGCAGGTAGATCCACAGGCTCCAGAGCCCAAGTCTCAGGAACTGTTTCAACAGCTGGAGTCACTGATGGCAGCTCAGGATGACATCATCTCCCAGGTCTCCTCCACACCCTCCACACCCTCACTCCCTCACTCCCCCACAGGTGAGAGCCTCAGAGAGGGAGGTGGCGGCCATTCTAGGCAGGAGAGAAGCAGAGGAATCCAACCCACAGCTGTCGGTGTCAGTCTACGACGTTGCCAGGAACCAGAAGGCCTTCCAGCAGAGAGAGGAGGAGGAAGAGAGGGCGAGGGAGGAGGAGAGGATCCAGAGGGAGAAGGAGAGGGACTACCTCGCCCCTTTCCTCGGGAAACTGGTGGGGGACGCCAAGGAGATGGACAGGGAGCGGATGGTCGCGGTTGCCGAGGTCTGATTCTTGCATATGTGTATACAAACGTGTGTTTGTATATACAACACCGCAGGAGTGTCTGAAGGACAAGCGGCAGAGTCTGGTCGACAAGGCCAACAGACTCCAGTGCCAGTTTGACGCTGAAACAGAGGCCCTCTCCCGCAAGCAGGCGTGGTACAAGGCCAACCAGGACTCCATCACCAGGGAGTCAGAGGCCAACTACACCGCCTTCTGCAACGACTCCCTGTTCAGGATACACATCCTAGAACAGAGACTCAACATGTGAGTGTATACTACCAGCTAGTCTTGTATACTACCAGCTAGTCTTGTATACTACCAGCTAGTCTTGTATACTACCAGCTAGTCTTGTGAACTACCAGCTAGTCGACTCAAATGTGGGCTTACCTGGAGCGTGGGGCTCAACTCTGAGCTGTAGTAAGACATGTTCTTTGTGTTTCCCCTTGCAACAGAATATTGATTTTAGTTAGCGTGCGTTTTCTTGGGACGTTTCCCCACAAATATATTTTTTTAATGTAAAAAAATACATTATAAAAGAACAAAGTCTGAATTTATCGTGTTGTGTGTTGTCCGTGCTGCAGACACAAGAGCACAGCTCCTGAGAAGTATCTACAGTTGGAGAGAAGACTGAGAGAAGACCACAGACTACGACCTGCTCACTAACTAAACACTCCACACACACACACACACACACACGGCTCTCAAAAGATTTGATATATACATAATTCAATAGTTTAGAGTTTTAAGAGTTTTGAAGAGTCAATGACCACACCCCCTTCGTTAATCTGGACCGTGAATATCTTGTTAGGACTCACTGGACTCTTCTCCACTGTCAGCTGTGGACAGAGGAAGAGAGAAGGAGAGGAAGTGGTCATATCAAAGAGACGAAGAGCTCACTGTTCGCTGGGACTCTGTGAGGTGGTTCAGGAGTAATCTGATGTTCACACAGTGAGCCCACGTGTTGCCAAGGGCAGCAGTCACATGACCTCCACCACTGCCTCCCGACCAATCAGATTCCTTCTCCACGTCATGTGACACCCCACCAACAGCCGTGACTTGGTTCGTCACAACTACCTGTGCATGTGTGTGTAAACCATCAGGGTGACATCAATTGGGGTGCAACTTTACCGGGACGTGGAACACCTCAGCCAGATACCTGCAGTAAGAGAGCATCACCACAACAGACAGACACATTACTTGGCTCTCACATCTTGCCCCAACTCTCCCATTTTCAGTTTCAAAGTCCCTCCAATTATTACAATTTCCCCTCCCCTCACAGCCAATGAGTCCCCGTCCCAATGTGATTTCCCTCCCTAACGACACACTCAGGATCTTTCAATAAACAACCTTCTCTTCCGCCTCACTTGTAACCTTATTTAATGCACACCAAATCCACATTTTACTTCTCAATCTTCCTCCACAGCGGAACCCTCTAATCCGGACACCAACTGACAGAAGAGGTGTCCATTTTTCAGATTCAATTTTTGGGGAAAGAAAAGGAGAGAGTTATCCTCATTTTGGTGGTGTCCTTAGAGAGGGGTTCCACAGAACTAACTTTAGTCTGGACGTGAAGCCACCCAGTGTAGCTGCTCGCTCGGCCATTTCTCTCCCATCTCTGGCTCCATATTCCCTCCTCACCGGACCTGCCACTGAATCCACCACCACAAGCCCCACCCCCATCTCTGCCAGCTCCTCCTCCAGTGACACCAGCAGTCTCTCCAGCTCCGCAGATGTCAGGGTACGGTGAACTCTGACCCTAGCTGCCAGCTGTGATACGGTGTGAGGTGAGGAGAAGTGAGAGGAATGGCGAGCCTTCGCCATCTCCACCAGCCTGAAGGAATGAGGGGTGTGGTCAGTTCAAGTATATACAGAGTGGTATAGTCAACAAAGGGGTGTGGTTTTGAAGTTAAGTAAATTCCCCATTCTCCCATAGGTATTGAACTTCTAATCAGCACTACAAGAATCACGTTCCAAAGCCTTGATTACTGCCACTTCCTGGAGACAGTGTCATGTGATAAACAACTCACCAACCAGCCACTAGTAACCATGGGAACCATTGTAACTAGTGTGGGCCAGCTTGCCTTGTCGCTGAGAAAGTTGCCTCTGTGTCGATGAACACCACACCCAGACCACACCCACCACAGGCCGGAGGTAGAGCGGTCGTCATGGCAATGGTTAGACAGAGCTGAGTTTTGCCACACCCGGGCGGTCCCACAATCTGTGCTGCCAATTAGTGTCAAACGAGAAGGGGAAGAGGGAAATAAGGGAAATAGGAAATTACAATCATCCTGCAGACTATGCTGTTTTCTACCTTAATTTCTCAATTTCTGTAGATACCGTTTTGCAATGGTATATATATACAGATGGAGAAATTAGGTAATGCTGTCACAGTGTCAATATGTTAGGGAGGGAGTGTTTACCTCAGTAATGGTTCCAGGAGGGAGCCCGCCGTGGAGAGCTGTGTCCAGACCAGAGAGTGAGGTGGGGATTAACCCTCTCCCCACACCTCCTGAACTGCTGCGGGACTCTCTGTACAGATCCAGGACCTGCAACGACAGTGTGTCCAGCGATGTCATGATTACATCACATGCTAAGTGAACATACATTAGTGGGGGTGGGGGCTGCTGCGTGAGACAAGGCTTGCATCAGGGGGAGCACCTGCCAGTAGCTGAGAGAGAGGGAGGTCATAAGGTCAAGAACAGTGGCTGACAGGAACTCCTGCATGTGGGTTGAAAGAAAGGGGTGTAAGAGCTTCCCAAGAGAAAGGGGGGTTTCTGATGCACCTGAGTTGTGGAAATTCCCTGGCGTCTCAGTTTCAAGCATTGTTCTGCTGTAAACAACCCCAGTCTCATTAGCTTCCTTCCTCCGGCCATGATTTAACGATTACCCACATCAAAACACCATGCATGAATGCGCCTGCGCATTTCAGACCTGCTGAGAGAGCTAGCTAGAGGGGGGTGCAACATGCGACATAAAAGAGGCGAGTGAACCGTTTTTCTTGCTTCTTTCCAAGACGAAGGATGAGTGTTATTACTCGACGCTACCAGGACCTCTTCCAGGCTGAGAGACGGTCGCCAAGGACGGCCTCCTCTGCAGTGGACACGGTGAGCTGAACACTCCGGTTTGCCCCACGTGATAATGTCGTCTGTAGCTGTTTTTGCCAGAGGGTCGTATTTTCTGGTACTATAGGAGACTCTAGCTTGCAACTTATCCTCTGCTCAAATAAACGACATGCACGTCTCCACGATTTGCAATCGTTTTTCGCTAAGCTACCTGCACCGCTCGGTGCTTCAGCACGCACCCTTTAGCCTCTGTGATCTGGCTGCTCGTGTGAGCAGTCTTGTGTGGTCCTACCTTCCCTAGACAATTGTCCAAGAGGCTCAGGCCCAGTTGTAATTTCTCTGCTCTTGCACACTGCCACTTGCAGGTTGAACATTTCCGCACACTTTATGAGGAATCTCAGGGGACTGTAGTGGCTGCACAGGCGGAGGTGAGTTTGGGGTTCCTGGCAATGGTTTGTCAGTGTTGGGCACTGCCCACAGAGACTGCATCCAAATACTTACATCTGTGTGTGTTATTTAATAATTTGTTAGAATTCCTTTCACAATTGGACACCTGCTTCTCTTTGCATGCGGAAGTTTGTCTCTAATGTTGACTGCTGAGCTGCAGTTCTGCAGTCTCTATGTTAGTTGTTGGCTACGTTACCTCTGTCTGTGTGTGGGGGGAAACAATAGTGACAGTGTTTTGATAAGCGCTGCATTGACTGGTATGCGGATTCCAGCAACCTCCTCACATTTTAAGACAACCTCTGACCCCAATGGGGGAGGTCAACAATAGTCATCGCATAGGAAATGCCAATTTCTATAATTCATTGGAAAATTTCAATGTTTCCTTATGATTTCCTGCTTTGCCCAGGTCACCAGTCTCCAGGTGCAGTTGGACGAGGCCAACATGGAGCTGGCGTCAAAAGACACCGCCATGCAGTCCCTCACTGAACAGTGCAACGCTCTGGTACATAGCTGCACCACTCACTCCCTCACCTCTCTCCATCCCCACGTTCCCCTCATCTCCAGAAATCACTGATGATAGAGAAGGACGAGAAACTCCAGAAGTTCAACCAAAAACTGGCAGCCATTAGGGCAGGACTGGCAAAGGAACTGGGGAAGGTGAGCTGCTAGGGAGCACCCTTCCTGGGAGTGTGTGGTGCTTCAAATGTTCCCAGAAATAGTGGCAAAGAAATCTCTCAAATGTAGTGAGAAATAGTGGTGATACACAATATCTCAAATGTCACTGCAGATAGCTGTAGTTTGATGTGGTGGTGTCAGTCACACAACACAACATACACTTACTCCACTCCCTCCTCCCTCCACTACACACACACACAGCAACGCAGCAGCAGTGACCGAGACCTTCATCTGGCTCTCGACTGCATCCTGAAGTGCTCCCGTGAACTCTGCACCCACGCCATCACCACGGAGGAATTCCACACGGCTCTCGATCTTATTCTCTCCACTCTCACTCCTCACCCAAAACTCCTGCCCATGCCCACCTCACCACAGCAGTGGGCGGAGTTTGGGGAGGCGGGGCAGCGGAAGTTGGCCTCTCTATCTCTCTCTGAGCGTCGTCAACAACTGGCTGCCACGGTCGGCAACGTCAGTTGGAGTTCGTCCGCTGATCAGGCAAGGAAGTCCCTACAATTACCAGCCCAATATGGACAGGCTCCCACACTAGATCATTGTCACTTACAACCAACTCCCGCAAGCCAGGCATTAGCCTCGCTGCAGAGTATGTTTGATAAACAGAGTCTAGTCTAGTGATACCAATTCTGTTAACACGACTACAAATCATGCACATGAACGTGTGCTCATTCTGCAGTTTTACGATTTGACAATGGTGTGTAGTCATTGCAGCACATTCCTTTCTCCACTATCATTGTATAACAGGAGTTGTGGAATGTATTAGTGGATGGCGCAGCCAAATACGCATGATGTAATCCACGTTGCAGCTTTCCACAAGCATTTAGACAGCGTGCAGAATCTAACCACAAAATATTGCCCCAAATTGTTGATTTCCTAGTGTGCCAAATTTGATCATGTTTGACTGCTTGCAGCTGGTGATGAGGAACGAGATGGATATTTTAACCCCATCCCCACCACCTCCACCTCCCAGAGAACATCAGCCGTCTGCCGAGGCTGTGAAAGGAGAGCAGGGAGGAGAAAAAGGAGATGATTGGAAACAGAAGGAAACAACCCATTATGAGAGAATGGACTCTGTAGGTATGTCTTGTCGTCATGGAGACAGAGACAAAGTGGGTGTGGTCAGACGCAAGAGTGGACGGAGGAAGAAGATTCGGTATTTCTCGTCGGCCAACGATCTCCTGTCGTCCAGTGTTGGGGTGGAGGAGAGTGGAGTTACTCCGGTCCCGGTGGGGGGAAATTACCCCAGGGTGCAGATGTGGAGGAAGAAACTGGGGTTGAGGGAGGGGAGTGTGTTTACAGGAAGTTTGCCTGACCTGGTGAGGGAGGGGGAGTCTGGGGAGGATGAGGAGGGGGAGGAGGGAGGAGAGGACGAGTACATCGACCCTCGAGAGATTGCTGGTGCCTTCATCTTCCCGAGACTGAGTCGTCGTGTCTCCCAGAGAGTCCTCAGGAGGATGGACACCATGATGAACACTGACACTGTAGCCACACCCACCTATCTGAGGATCATTGGGCCTGACGAGGAGAAGGAGGAGGGGTCGCGGGCCCTGAGACGACGCGAGCTGGACAGGTCGGCTCTCAGCTGCTGCACCACAGAGGACGACCTTAGCTCGGTCGACTGGGACGCCGGAGACGAGGCTCCCACAAGCCCCACCCAAAACCACACCCACCTGGCATCAGAACTTAGCCCCGCCCCTGCTGACCACACCCACCGGGTTAACAGGGTGCGGAGGAGGCGGTCCAATCGGATGACAGCAGTCGTCCAACAAGACAGTGACGACGAGAGGATCTACGAACGTATCGACGACCTCGCCCTCCCGACTTGCAACATTGGGGCGGAGACTGGGGGGCCGAAATTTCAGGTCCCTCGCAAACTCACCCTCCCCCGCCGGAGGTCAAAGGTCACAGCCAATCGTCGACAACAATTATCATCGATGAAGGGGTTTGATGGGTATGAGTATCTTGTAGACACGAGTCCCACTCCTGTAGAGGGGGTGAGGACGATTCCTCGCTGGACAGAGATGTCTCCTGCCCTTCCTCCTCCGCGAAACACTTCTGCTCCTGTGAAGAATGGAGCAGTGGAACATGTTCCCATTCACCCCGCCCTCTCCGTGCCTGTAAGAGGAGGAGGGGGGGGGGGTGACTATGAGGAAGAGAGAGGAGGTGGGGAGGAAGGGAGATAGGCAAATAGGGAGAAGGCAAAGATGTTTGTTTGGAATGTGTGTGTTGTGTGTGTGTGAGTACAGGAATGTGAGTATTGGTATGTGAGTATTGTATAAAGTCTGTGGTATTTGGGGGTTATTATTTAATACTGTTGTGGCAGTGTCAATGTTGTTTGTCCACACAGACTGCTGAGTGGGTGGGTGGGTTGACTATGTGTTCTGAGGAATAAGATCATTTCCTGCTATTTGATCATTCATTACCCCATTGACCAAACTACCTACTACATTCCTAGCACAGAATCAGTCACCCCCACCATTGAGAGTAGATTCACAACTTCTCGTCCCCACAGCTGGAGCCATCACATGGCCCCCAGTCCCGGTCCCCCGCTATCTCCTCCGATGACACCAACCAATCAGATTGCGAGGCGATACCCGAGCTACTCTACACCACACCTGTTTCGTTACCATGGAGTCGACCCCAGGACCTTTGGAGAGCGAGGGAGGCCACAGGAGAAGCCAATCTCTCCATAAAGCCACCACTGTCCAAGCCACCTACACCACCATCTCTCCCGGCAAGGTATACATACATAGTTACAATGGGACACACCAAATCCTTCATTCAGAACTAGTGTTCTTTATAGAGAGGTGTCCTTTATTCGTAGCGTCTTTTTCGAAGGTTTCAGAATATAGCCTAACCTGTAGTTATCATCTCTCTCCTTGCTGCAGGAAGTTGGTGAGGCACAGGGTAAGGGAGGAGGAGGGGGAGATGGAAGGAGCCACCTGCCACTGGCAGCAAGAAAAGTCACACCCTCCCAACCTCTTCCTCTAGTTCCAAAGTGAGCTCACATGCCTCAATACACTGCGCAGTCTCTGGCATGAATTGCTAGCTGAAGACCTAGTATTTGCAATCCGCACTCCAGCTATAGTTGAGCTACATATTCATGGTTGGCCATTCCTTCCCTCCCACTTGCAAAAAAGTACAAAGAGTTTAGGTCGCCATTTTGTGTTGTAGTGTTAATGGTGTACCCTGTGTGGGAGGTTACCGTCCCCTATTGCCCTGTGGCTAACTGAGTGGGACTAATGTTGGCCAGACTCCTTTTCCTGGAAACACTCACTTGTTTTTACAAGGCACCTAGAGAGTATGGGGAACAACCTACTGTAGTTAGTTTGACTCCACTTCTGTCTACTGTTAAGTTTTGCTGTGTAATGTTGATGCTAGTCACAATTTTATGCAAGCACAGTTTAATACCAGCCTCTCCCACCTCTCTCTCTCTCTCTCTCCATCAGGGAGTAGATCACTGCGGCTACCTGACGAAGCTCGACTCTAGACTCCGTCCAGGAAAGAGACGATGGTTCGTGTTGGTGGGACAGGAGCTGAGGTACTACCGCAGCAAGGAGGCCTCCCTGGGACGACCGCGCAAAGTCATCAACCTTAACTCCTGGTGTAAACTGGCCGTCGTCAATGACGTCATCTTCAAGGTCTGTGACATCATCAGAAAAGCCCACGTCCACTGTAAATGAGTTGGCTGTTGAACAAATAGAGAAACATTGTTTGCTCAAAAACTATGTTTAAAAGATCTTCTCCCTCTCCTTTCCTCTTCTGCCCCTCTTTTCCTCCCACATGTGAACTCCACAGCTGATGACGTCATTGCAGACGTTCCATCTGTCTGGAGGCTCAGCTCAAGAGAGCGAAGAATGGGTCCAGGCTCTGAGGTCAGCTCTGAGACGACCTTCTGGGACTCCGCCCCACCACGTTCACCATCCCTCCTCCCCTTCTCTCTCTGGCTGGGCCTTCATGGTGAGTGGGTCCTCTGTCCACTGTTGTCATTAGCTACATATGTATCTCTCTCCTCTCTCTTCTCTGCCGTGGGGTATGTAATATAGCAGTCAGAGAAACGAGCCACAAGGAAGATGTGGTGTCATTTGGATTCCACTGGTATTCTCTCCATCTCTCCTGCAGCACAAGCCGAGGTGGGTGTGGTCATGTACAGTGGGTGTGGCCTCAAATGACATTCCCAACTCACCTCTCCTCCTCTCTGTCTGTGCAGCCACTACAGAAGGTGAACATGGCGTCCAGCACAGTTCGCAAGGCCAGAGACTCCTTGCTGATGGACAACAAGGAGTCATCCTCAACCCTCAGTTCTCAACTGGTCATTCAGGAGGAGGAAGGGCAGCAGTCACCTGTTCTTCTAGTCCCCTGCAATGCCGAAGACAAGGTTAATATTGCCACCCCCACATTCCTTCTCCTGAAACCAACTAGATTGTCGTGTTCCAAAAAGTATAGAATGCTGTGTTACCAAAAATGGTAGTAAAACATGCATGAAATGTATGATGATTAATTAACACATTGGGTCCCTGTATTGTACATGTATTGTACATGTGTCCAGCAAAGAGCTCGACATACAACTTGCTTCACTCGCCAAGAATGTTTAGAGGGGAGAGAAATGGAGAAATGTTGATCATTATTCTCTGCAGGAGATGTGGTTCTACCAGCTGAGTCTGGCTAGTCGCAGTGGAAGAGATGAAACCCTCGAACTGACTTCCACAGAGCAGTACCTGGCAACCATATTCAGAGAGGGCAGAGCTCTCGGTAGGCACACCGACAATACAGATATCGGTGATGTAATGATGATGTAATGGGTTACAGACCACCCCCTGTGGAAGCATCCGGTGTTGAATATGACAGACAGTCCTCTGAAGAGCAGTCTGACCTCTCTCCCCTCTCCCTCCCTCACCAGCAAGGCCCTCAGACTGTTTCAGGTGTGAACCAACTGCACAACACTTCAACAGTAAAGACGTATCATCCCTGCATGTCTGTATGCATAGATAGACTTAGAAGTTCATTGTGAACGCTACTAAGTCTTTCGTCTTTGCTATAATTCCTCCTCCTCGTCTCTTTGACGAATCAGAATGTTCAGATGTTCATGTCTACTCCCCTGAGCCAGCTGTCCCCCGAGGGTCACGTGACCTCTGCACAGAACATCATCACCACCTGCCTCCGTCACCCACAGCTACACGACGAGCTCTACTGCCAGATCCTCCGACAGGTAACCGACGGCGACCTGGAGCAGGGGAACGCTCGCCCGTTGCAACAGGGATGGTGTCTTCTCTCCCTCGTCCTACCCATGTTTCTTCCTCGACGACCTCGCGTGGTCCAATACCTCACTGCCGTACTCCGGCGAACCATGACCAGCTCCCAGCCTGTGCTGACTGGGTTTCGCCCAGCACTGCCTCGACACTGTGGAGAGAGGTGAGAGAGACGGGACAGAGAAAATGGAGGCCGTCCTGCCAGGAATTGGAGGGCCTTCTTCTAGTTTTGCGTTGAACCCAACGTCCCTCAAGATCTCTCTTTCGATCCCTGTGCACCTCCCTGACGGAACCTCTGAGGTACACACACCTACCAGAATATTACTGGGTCATGTGACAGTCATGTGATCTGTTACCTTGCTCACACAGGAGGTGGAGTTTGATGCCTGCTCGTCGGTGAGCGATCTGCTGACTCAGCTGAATGCGAAGTTGGGGATGCCCCCCTCGTCAGAGACGGGATTTTCCCTCGTGAGTGACTGGCCAGGCGTGGAGGAGTGTGCCTTCTTCCAGCTGCCGGAGGCCGGAAAACTGGGCGACCTCCTGGCTTTCTGGTGGAACGCCATGGACGAACTGAGTCCCTGTGGGAAGGGTGGAGTTGGGGGCGGAGCCAGACATCGCTGCATCAGACTCACCTACAGAAACTGGTGAGACATACTATATTACCACTGTCTCAAGATTATTGGCCATTTTTTCAAGAAACTAGCATAAAAATTAGAGCGGGAAAATCAAAATTTTGTGGGCAGGAAGTGTGAAAACCGACTTAAAGCTGATCGCTGAAACTGTATTAATTCTGAGAGGATTTTAAAAACTGTGTTATTCCATTGTTCTTTTTGTAGGCTGTTTGTTCGGAGCCGGCATGGCCAGGAGGTGGAGAGAGAGGCGGAGCTTCTGGCTTATCAGATCAGTCACGAGGTGGTCAGTGGGCGACACCCGGTGACGTTGCAGAGAGACGCCATCAAAATGGCGGCTCTCATGTCACAGCTTGAGTTTGGTGACTGGGAGAAGGTGGGGGGAGACGGAGGGGAGGAGGGGAGGGAGGAGAGAAAGTCAGCCATTGCAAAGGAAGCTCTCTGAAGTTTGGACAAATGAAACTGACACAAATGACTCTTGAACACGACCAGAGGTACGTCAGTCTTGTGAAATAGCAGGGAGTAAAGAACAACTAGAGCATGAGACATCCTTTAGGCCCAGACTTTCTCTTATAAAAGAGAAGGTGTGTGCGTGAGAATATTGTTGATGGGTATCATTCTCCCCTCTCCCTCTCGGCCCTCACAGTCTGTACCAGCGACAGTTGGTGGAGCAGTGGGACTTGTGTGCTGGCAAGACTAGGACTCAGTGTGCCACGGACTACCTGGACCTGGCTCTCCAGTGGGACCTCTGTGGAGCCACCCTCTTCCTCAGCGAGGTTCAAAACATTCCCATTTGTGTCTTCTTTTCACCTTACCTTCTCTTTGCCTTCCCCTCATTATTGGACTGCTTACCTTCATCTTCACCAAATGTACCCTCCCCCCCCCCTCAGAAAGCTCGTGGGAGGAGTGTGTGGCTGGCGGTCCACGAAGGAGGCGTGTCTCTCCTCTGCCCCTCCTCCATGGAGACGAGGAGCCACTATTCCTGGCCGCAGCTAGCTGCCTTCGGCTCAGACGGAGACCACCTTGTCCTGGTGGTGACATCATCGCAAAACGGTTCTCATGACAACACTGACACCGAGAAACTCCTGTTCTTCATGTCCAAAGCAAAAGTGAGTCCATATTTTACGCATAAACCACAAAATCATTTGTTTCTCTATACATAGATTCACCAGGCTACCAACCTCATGACTAGCTACTTACAGAGAAGGGCAACCATCACTTGAACTAACACTGAATGTGTGTTTGTTTATACACAGATTTTTAGAATGTGTTTTTATGTGATTCTATTATGAACTGGGTGACTGTCATGTGATGGTGGTGTGAGTGTCACATGATATGGTGGCAGTCTGGAGGTAGGTAGGGGTGGAGAACAGGCGGTACAACTACGCTCCCATCCTGCACAGAAAACAAATGATGTAATGATGACATCATCCTTAACCAAGCTGATTACACAGGACCTTCATTTGGTGGTTTTCCAGTATGGCGATGATGGTGCGAGGGACGGCACAGGCAGTGGCATTCAGCTGGAGAAACATCAGGACACCAACATTAGGACACTCCACATGTCCTGAGCAGCACACTATTAATACGCTACTCACGGTATGTGCGTATGAGCGTTCCCCACGGTCCACAGTCCTGATTCCAAGTCTCTGGCTCTGGAATGAGCCGCAGTCCGAGGCACTGCAAACCTCCCCAAACTCCGCCCTCCCCGGCATCCACACCTCCACGTCCAACTTCCTGTGGGCGGGGCCTCCCAGCTCTCCCGTCGGCATCTCCAGCACTCTGATACACAGGAGTGATGATGTCACCTGATGTAATGACCATGACATCATGACCACACCCACTCACCGATAATGCAGGCCCAAGTCGGCACAGATTTCTTCCTGAAGAGCAACCATTTCATCCAGTACTCCTCCCTCTCCCCCATCTCCCTCATCTGTCTCTGTCACGGCAAACAGCTCCACTTTACTGAACTGGTGAACTCGGTAGAGGCCCTTTACAGCACGGCCAGCACCTCCTACATTGAGAACACCCTTTAATCAACATTATTCCCCTGACAATGTTCTGCAATTTGTACTAATGTGTGTCTCACCAGACTCGGCCCGGTAGCTCCTGCCGAAGGCCACCAGTCTGTGAGGAAATACACACTCCAGGGGTGAGGTTGGTGAGTGGCGAGGGTTAAACTGTACCTCACTGGCAGTTGGTCGACCGTCAGAGTCTTTTCTATGAACATTCCTTCGAGAGAGAGAGAGAAAGAGATTTAACAGAAACTGCTGTGCGTGGCAGCAAAACATGAAACTGGCGATGTAATGTGCACCCCACGTCATAGAATTTGCTTTTATCAAACAGTCCGAAAGTTTCAGTAGATTTCCAGATACTGCTGTAATGGAAGAGAGGGAGAGAGATAGGAAACTCACCAGCCAGAGGAACTTCGGCTGTCCCGGAGAGAGAGAGGTGACCATGGTGATGGTGGAGAGCATAGACCTGTGTGGCTTCCCCACGGGGATGGAAACCACACCCCTCCTGAGGTCAGGGAGGGAGGGAGGAGGATGAGGCGACAGAGAACATGTGGCGGCCATCTTACCACTACTCCAGTCCTGACTATGTCTGGAGTTATTACTGGTGAGAATCCCTGGAGGGAGGGATAGTCAGTTGGGAGCAGTCAACACGGCACCGACACAATTCACAGAAAATCTGGACTTCAGTTTGCCGGGAGCATAATTATGTTCTCAGTCAAGTTTCTAGCAGACGTGCTCACATTATCCTTTAAAGTGTGTGTGTGTCTGTGTGTATGTGTGCACTGATGAGAGAGTAAATATGTGACCTTGCCGCAAGCCTTGTGCATGGCATACTGGACCAGAGCCAACTCCAGGAGGGCCGCTGCCCCTGTGAGGTAGTAGAACCTCCTGCCACTGGCCTTCGCCGCGGAGCTGTCAGATGGTAGTCACATGACTCGGTCAGTGTGTCACATGATCATCATGTGACTCAGTCCCCACCTGAAGTCAACGAGGCCAAGAGACTCTGCAATGTCCACGTGACTTCTGACGGGGAAATCAAACACTGAAAAGAACGTGTGAAGTGACGGAGTAAAAATGCTCATCTTTATTAAAACTATTATAGATTAAGGCTCCATAACTACTGGACATTATAATTCTGATGAGACAATATAGGATATTTACCTGGCTTGTTCCCATGTGTGCGAATGACTTTAACGTTCTCATATCCTCCAACAGGCTGCAGAGTAAGTAGAGAGATGTGTCAGGAGAAGATACCTCATGTCGTGGAGGGTCACTCACAGAGAGAGGGTGAGATGTGTTGGGAAGAAGGGATACCAGAGGGTACATCGCTCGCTCCAACACCGACTTCTGATCCTGTGGGGATCATGTGATCATGTGATCTCACATGACAATCATGTGATACCTCCAGCTCGGCTATTTCGTCTCTCAATTGTCTTCCTTTCTCAACATGTTCGTTGCCATCACCCCTCATCACCTTTCATAATTCTTTCTTCAACTTTTTTCTGACTTATGTATATACTTACCTTTGATTGTGCATGAATGTTGATGTTTCGCTGCTGTCTGAGTGTCTGCAGGTGTCCATTCAGACCAAAGTACTCTGACTGCAGCTGATACTGCACACAAACACCCATTCACACAATCACCCATACTCTCATTCCTAAACTCCAGTACTTTAATACTGTCATGCCACCAGTATATACATAGTGAAGAGGTGATGTAATCTTACCAGTTTCTCCAGGTCCACGGAGACGGCTCGTTGCCTGACATTCTCCTCCAGCGCGGCTCTGTCTCCTTTCATCAGCCGCAGCCCAGCGCGGAGGATGTTTCTCTCCAGTCGCTCCCTCACCTCGTGTGCTTCGTCCTCCAGCCTCCTATACCTCCGCAGAGAGATCGACAGCTGTCTGGCTGACCGCCACAGCCCAGATCGCACTGCTCTGACACCTAGCACATCTTGAACCAGGCTCCGCCACCGCATCTTCCACGTGTGCGTTTTGCCAACGTCAGCAATTTTCGGTGGGCGTGTCAGAAACTGCAGCAGCAAAACTGTGCTGTTTCGCTCTCCAGTTGCAAGAGATGCGTCGCTGTCCGTTAGCGCTCCTTCTTCTACTGGTCCTCCTTCTCCTCGGAGAAGGTGGCCAGGCGTACGAGCTAGCGGAGCTGGTGGAGGGGAGTCTGGAGGCCGAGACTGCGCACTACTACACCGTGGACGCGACTGGAGTGCTCGTAGGTATGTAGCTAGGCCGGAGAGTGTGCAAAACTGCTAGTTGGCTGCATGCAAAGGCGGAACATATTATGGTGGAAGGTTAGTTACGTATCCACGACCATGTGAAATCAGAGCTACACTAGCTAAACGTTTTTCCTTCAACTGCCCGTTTCTCTCTCCCTCTCAGTTGCTCTGTTGACAGAGGAGGGGGATGCAGATCTGTATGTTTCGACGGAGACCAAGGAGCCAGGCCACTCAAACTACCAGCTATCGTCCACCTCCTGCGGCCTGGACCTTGTCCTCGTGCCAACCGGCAAGGGGGCGGGGTCTCAGAAGGTCTACCTGGGTGTGGTCGGTCACAGTCACCACGCAAAGTCCCACTACAAACTGGCCATCATCACAACTTCTTCTCAAGATATCGACAAATATCAGGTTGGAATAGACCACTTGAAAAGCCAATCAAACCATAATGAGGCCACCCACTAGTGGTATGTATGCTGTTCTTCTTCTCGCCGTGTATATAGCTGGTGCTAATTTTCCAAGGTGCTACATTTTTTGTGAATCGGAAGTTAAATAGACAATTTTGGTTACCTGTTTTTGCTAATAGTCCTTTTGCCGACATTTGGTGCTGTATTCACATATTGTAGGTATGGGACCTGGACCCTGAGACCAGGCGGAGAGTCCTGCTGGTGAGCTACGACCCCTTGGAGATTGCCAATGATGTCACTCTACACCAGTTGCTAGAGCAACTGCAGGGGAATTCCGCAGGGGTCAAAGGTGACTCCACGGAGGGTGTGTTGGGAAAAGTCAAAGATGTTGCTGAATGGACTCTCTATGTATTTTTTGAACTTTTGAAAATTCTGATCGAAATTGTTCTCTGACTGTTCAATAGTATACTAAGCAGTATGCGGATTGACTTCCGCGAATTTACAGACCAGTATACGGTATGTGAATGCGCAAACACATGAATTATAAAAGTCAGAGTTTCGAGACTTTATCGGCGTTTTGTAAGTAATAGAGCTGTCGCTTCCCTCGTCTCATCAGCCACTCGATGTAGAAAACGTTCGATCGCTTGGCACTCGCCGCGTGCTCACGAAATGTGTTCCTTACGTTCTCTCGAGTCGACGCTGGCTTTCCGTCGCACGCCCTCATGAGGGCGCGGTACAGACCGATAACGTCTCTCTGTAGCTTACTCCGCTGCATTGCTGCTGCGCTGACCACGCCTCCTTGGTGCGCACTAAATAGAATACTGCGTATCAAACAGCGCTGGAAATGGTGAGGAGTTTCTGGGGACGTCTCTGTGATTTTTCATGTGTACGTTACACCTACGACAGGGTAAAACTAAGAAGACCCGTCAGTTTGTCCTCAAGAGGATCGTCTCCGCCAGAGACGCAAGAATGTGAGCTGAACGCGAGCACGTGTTCGAGGTGAAAGGTCACTTTCCCCCCTTTCTCTCGCAGCAAAAAGAACCAGGAGAAGAACGAGGAGAAGGCACTGAAGAAACTGGAGGAGAAAGTCAAACATGTGTACGTCACACTCACCCATGTTTGCACCCCGCCCTCATCTCGTTTTCCTCTCCCACCTCTCTCGTCTAGTCCGCAGGCCTCATCTGCTCTCTTCTTCCAGTACAACACACAACTGGGCCCTCCCTACCACATTCTGGTGGACACCAACTTCATCAACTTCTCCATTCAGAACAAGCTGGACATAGTCCAGGGTATGATGGACTGTCTGTATGCCAAATGTGTGCCCTGTATCACCGACTGTGTCATGGGAGAGCTGGAGAAACTGGGTTCAAAGTTCAGAGTCGCCCAGAGGTAAAGGGAGCGTGAGAGAAGGTCGAGGGTAAAGTGATGTTTATGTGTGTGTCTAAAGGATTGCGAAAGACCCTCGGTTTGAGAGGCTGCCGTGTCTGCACAAAGGGACGTATGCCGACGATTGCCTCGTCAGTAGAGTCACTCAGGTACACCAATCCCCACCCCCTCGCTTATCCTCGCCCCCCAACACATGTTCCTGCAGCACAAGTGTTACCTGGTGGCCACTTGTGACAGAGACCTGAAGAGAAGACTGCGGAAGGTTCCGGGTGTCCCTATCATGTACGTCAGTCAGCATCGCTACACCGTGGAGCAAATGCCAGACGACTATGGAGGTATAATATCACCACTGTCTTCTCTCTCCAGCAGTTCTTTTGTGTTCCTGTGTCTCTCCTTCTCTCTGACCTTTGCCTCTCTCCTTCTCTCTGACCTTTGCCTCTCTCTCCTTTCTTTGCCTTCACCCACAGCACCAAGATCATAACGGGCTGCAAACAATTATTATGAACAACATGTGCAATATTATTATGATTTTCATGATTCATCACTCTCTCTCTCTCTTGTAAAATTTTAAATATATAACTATTGCTGATTGGTCACGTGATCTACAGGCAGGTTGCCATTAGCAACAGCAGCCCCATTATTGTCTGAAGGTTGGTCGAGCCCCTCATGATTAGGACCAGAATCCTGCACGTTGGGTTCGCTCTCTTGCTGCTGTGAAGTCCTGGTGTCTTGTTGGAGTGATTCGTCTGTGTCACAAACAGTGTTACCACTAGCTTCACTTTCCAACTTGGCTGCTGGCACCTCCGATTCACACTTAGCATCTTGAATATCTGACGTGGCGTCAGACGTGTTAGTATCTGGAGCAGTAGGTTCTGATTCGGGATGAGCAGTTTCTAAACCGGGACTCTCCTCCTCTAATGTGGGACACGCGGCATCTGACCCAGGACTCGCATCGCGCAGCAGGTCAGAAGTGCTCTGAACTTTATTCTCCTCTGACACCACTGCATCTGTTTTATCCAATGATGTCGTGGCTCCGCCCCCAGCCCCCGGACTGGAGCCTCCCAATTTCCTCTCAATCTTCACAATCTCTGTTCTGAGAGTCTCAATGGTCTTGACCAGTTTGTGGAGGAGCGGAGTGAGGGGTGCAGTGGCCATGCCCCTCCCCTGCATCTTCTTGATGCCCTCTGCGAGACTCCGCACCCACGCCTGGCACTGTCTCAACACCTCTCCTCGGCGGAGGTGGAAATGCTTCAGTATCACCTGTACATGGAGAGAATTGGGGGAGGACAGAAGAGAGGGGAGGATGGAAGAGAGGGAGGATGGAAGAGAGGGGAGGATGGAAGAGAGAGGGGGTATGAGAAAAGGAGAAACGTATACAAGGAGTACAAGGGCAGAGAGGGAGGGAGGAACTGCAGTACAGGACCGAATTCTGTTACATAACTGTGAGGCCTTCAGTCAGTATTTGTGGGTAACTACTTGTGTGTATTTGGTATAATTATACCTCTCTGAAGCAGGGAGAGGGGTTCTGCAGCTGGTGTATCATGGCCCACTGGATGGTGGCGACATAGAGGTTGACGTTGTAGGTCAGGCTCTTCTGATCCCCGTACGGAGTACCCCGGTACTGCTCGTAGCCCGGCTCGTTGAAATACGGGTCTGAAACCAGGACAAGGCTCTGGATCGACACCAGGACCTGTGACGTGGGGTATGGGAATGGGACGGATGGTGGTAGGGGCGTGGCAGGCTCACCTGGAGGAAACTGGACGTCTCAGAGTTCCATTTCTCCTCTGGTCTTCCGTGCCACGTATTCAGGACACTCAGACACACCTGGAATGGAATCAGGACTGGGATGTGGTATGGGAACGGAAACATGGGAACCTGACCTTGCCGTCGTTGTATAGGTTGGGGTTAAAGCGCACGGTTCCCTGGCCGGTGGTCAAGAGGTTAACCAACATGGGTCCTTGAGGGTATTCCTCAGGGAACAAAACATCAAACTCAAAACATCCGTTGGCATAGGGTGTGTCAGATGGTCCAGTTATCAGCACCTGAGGAGAGAGAAGGGAGGGATGGAGAATGATTGTAAGGGTGCTAAATAGAAGTGATAGTTTCTGGAAGTAGTAATATTATATAGGTGGTTGATTTTCATCTCGCAAAGTCCGTATTTGACCTGGAGTTCTATTTGTTGCCCACCTTCATGACGTCGAGTCTGTTCTCGTCGCACCTGACAAAGACGGAGGAGGAGGACGAGAGAGGGAGAGACGTAGCTAGAGACGACACCTCCTGAGCCAGTCTCCGTGCCCATGCTGGTCCATAGGTCGAAGACTGACTCGGCTTGAGTCGGTTCTCGTAGTGGAATGGAACCAAGACACTCAGCTTTCCGTTCTCATCTTCCTCCACGATCTGGAATGTGTCTGTGACACCAACAGACAGAGAGGAGAGATTTAGAGAGGGAGACAGATTTGACCAACCGAACTGCAGTGGACTCATGGTCTGCATGTACTCATCAGTGGAGTTTGTCTCCCAAGTCTCTCGTCTCTCTCCCTCCTCCCCTCCGTCTCCTCCCCGTAGCTCAGTGGCAGTGGACAAGACTCTCTCGGCAGTGGCTAACATGGCAGATGTTAGTTCTGCCACATCTGCTTCTGGCGATACTCCCTAGAGAGAGAGAGAGAGCTACACATACACATACACAACACCATCACCACTCAATTACTATCACGTTCTCTTTACGGTGGGTGTAGTGCAACTGATTTCACTATCTCGGCTCTAGGGACAGTTACAAAAGCTATGAGAACGCTGGCTAAAACAGTTATCAAACTGCGAATGCCTGTTTCCTGCGTTACGTGAGGGACAGACCTCATCTTTGGTCTGGAGGCCTGTCCTCTGCCTCACTCTCTGCGGAGGTCGCGGAGGTGGAAGTGGCAACTGCTCGTCCCTGGTGGGTGTGGCTTTGTTCGATACACCTGCAGCTGTCTTTAACCTACACACAAGAACAGTTCAGATTTGCCACAAGATCTTCTGTATTAAGAATATTCAGTTCTCTTCCATTTACTGATACAAATCTTTGTGTTAAGAATCAGAGGATAAAAGATATTTTGTTGACCTGGTTCGTTGTGGTAGCACAATTTGTTCCGTAGGTATACCTGGCAGCCTTGGAGTAGGACATGACTGTTGATTTGAGTCTCCTGGAGAGACCCACGAGAGAGAGACCACCTCTTCCGTCGGATGATGATGTCATCGAGGGAGGGTCCCCGCTGGCGGGGAAGATGGGGAGGGTGAGGAGGGAGAGGAGAGAGGGGTGAAGAGTGAAGGAGTAGAGAAGACCCAACGCAGACAGGTAAAGTTCCGTGTGTTTCGCTATGTCCAGAACTGGGGGAGGAGGGCAGTTGGCGACAGTGAAAAACAAAACTTTGGAGATGCTTGTAAACATTTCAGCAGTCACCACAAAAAGTCCTTTCAAGCATTTTTACACAAAATATGCTGGATCAAAGAGAAGTGGTAGGCAAAACCTTTTGGAACAGTGTTGTTGACGTGTTGTATTCTAGAGAGAGAGAGACAAGCAGGAAATCTTACTGGAATCATTGACGAGGTAGGTCGCCAGAGCAGGAAGGAGACAAGACGAGGCCAGCAGGTCTGCCAGGGCCGAATCACACCAAGACTCCGCCCCCTGACCACACCCCTCAGGTTGAGCGAGGCACTCCCAGAGAATGGCAAACACGAGACAGACGTGTTTCTCCTCTGACTTTTGCTTGGCTCTCATCGCGTCCATGTTCCATTCCGAAGTGGTGGACCCCGTTCCAAACCCGGTTCCCTTGGCCCAGTATAGTCTGTGTCTGGATCCCATTCCACCACGGTCTGGTCTTGGGACGGCATCACTACTAGAGCTGTCAGGGAGGACAAATGATTGTGTCGGGCTTCTCCCCATAAGTTTTGGTTTTGGAGTAACTATTTGGCATTCTTCAAAATAGGTCTTTTTGCAGAGTTCGCGACGGTAATGTGTAATTGTGTGTGTGTATCGGTGCACTATATTATGTACCTGGCCAAGTCTTGATTAGAACTGGAGAGGGGTGTGGCTCGCGGGCGGTGTCCAAGGGCGGAGAGGGAAGAGAGGAGCTGGTGAATGACTCCGCCCCTCATCACACCCTCACGACAGGCCACGCCTACCTCGTTAGGCACCGGGTGTTCCGTCATGAGTTGGAGAAGGACGCGGTAAGGAACAAACGGGAGCTGTTCCGACATTGCTGGAGTCACGGTCTCTGAGGACACAACATCAGTAGTCAGTACTTAAATCATTATACCCATCACTGGAGTGTGTATGTACATATGGAGAATAGAGTTCAACTGAGAATTTAGGCGTCACATTTGCCAGCAGAGATTTGTAAGCCGTACTATATACTGTATCTAGTAAGTCAACTAACCTTTGTACTCTGCACCCAGCAGCATTAGGAGCAGAGATCGGGCCATTGGTCGTTGTTGTAGGAGGAAATCGCCGTAGCAACGCAGTCTGAGGCAGAGTCCGAGGGTGACGAGGGAGTGAGGGGAGGGTGTGTCGGGAGGTGACGAGAGGGAGAAAGGTCGCGGAGCCACGAGGGAGGGAGAGTCACATGTCTCTGATTGTGAGGGCCAGAAGGAGGGGTGGAGGGAGGGGAGACAGTGAGAGAGAAGAGAGAGACCACCGGTGGAGGCAAACGTCTCCAACATGCTGGGAGGGAGTGTGGCCGGAGCAAGCCGAGGAACAAACGACTCTCTTATTACAGGGTCGTGGGACACGTGGACAAAGAGCGAGAGGGAGGGAATGGGTTCGGGGGACGTCAAGGAGAGGACCTCGGAGAGTGTGGCCTGTGGGGAGAAGAAAGGGCGACCAGAGGAACTTAGAGAGAAGAAGACATTGGGCATGGGAGCGAAGGCCTTCTTTGCCTCCTGAGGTGTTGACTTGTGCCACGGAATTGAAGACTTCTTGTGGCCTAGCGGTAGAGTGAGAACCTGGGATGGAGTTTGCTGGGCTACATTTGGGAATTTCGTCGACGTCGTTTGTGAGCTGTTTGTTGTGGAGACCTTTGACCTGCTGGTCGAGGAAGGAGTGCAGAGGGAGGAGAGATGGGAGAGGGGGAGGGAGCGGGGAAGAGAGAACAGGAAGCTGTCTCGGGTGACGGGGATGCAAGGGTGGAAGAGGGGACTGGTGTGGGCAAGAGGGAGGGAGGAAGGGGAGATGGACTGGTGGGGGAGTTGTTTCAGGAGAATAATGCAGGGTTCCTCGGCCAGGACGAGCTCTACCAGGAGTCTGTGGGTGAAACTAGAGAGGTATGGGGTAAGTTTAGACGGGAGAGTTGGGTGGAGAGTGAAAGAGCCAGTGAGGGCGTTGGCCAGTAGCTTGCTGAATACTTGTTTGTTGTTTGAGCTGTGCTGCACAACACAGAGGAAGAATTCCAACCCCACATCCTGAGTGAAGGCGATCTCCAGCGGAGAGAGGGGGCAGCGAGGGTGGTCCTCGGCCAGACACAGGAACTTGAGTAGGTGTGGCCAGAGATTGCTCCGCCCCTCCCCGCCCAGCCACTCCTTAGCGGGGGCCCAGTCTCGAGCAAAGTCAGTCAGGAATGCCAGAAGAGCACAGGCTCTTGGTAAGCTAGTAGACCAGGTCAGAGACATGTCACTGTCTCCAGTGGTTTGCAAGGCTAGCTCGGTGAAGGTTTTACAGAGCTCAGTGAGGATGGAGGGGAGGAAGGGAGAGGAGAGGAGGGCAGAGGAACATGGTAGAGAGTGTGCCACGTGAGAGAGGGTAGAGAGGAGAGGGGGGAGGTGGGGAGGGAGGAGAGGGACAGAGGAAGAGGCCAGGGTTGTCTGGCAGCGTTCCAGGAGGAGGGAGAAGATGTGAGGGGTGTGGCTACAGAGAGAGAGGAGGAGAAGGTTGAGAGATTGTCTGGGTGGAGAATCCAGTGGGAGAGAAATAGTCGTCTCTGCCAGGGAGCTGCAGGGACAGAAAAAATCTAATGCACAGTACTTTGGTGTACATGCAAAAAGCAGGATTTGATCATTGTCCAATGTTGTAAGGCACCTGAACATATCTTCGGGGAGGTGTGTTGATACAAGTTTGCCGTCTCCATGCCATACCGAGCTGGCCAGAGCCCGTACCAAGACTGGGAGATTGGGAGAATGTGTCTCTGGCACTGCAGAGAGCTGCCTCAGACACACAAGACACCTGACAGGGAGAGAGACAGGGAGGTTAAGAGAAGGTGGAGAAGAGGTGTGCAGTACCTCTGCAAGCTCTCTTCAGTGTCCGGAACGCACAGACGATGGAGCAACTCCACCGCATGGGGCGTGGCAGTGGGTGTGGCTTTCCTCGAGAGACCCATCACGTGTTGAACGATGGACTGACTGACCTCTGGGGAGTGTTGAGTGAGAGAGACAAGCAGCTGCATCACCTGGTCTTTCCCCTTCATCCTTCAGACACACAGACGAATAGCGAGTGACACATAAAATGTGCAACTCACGAGAGGGTGTTTTGCTGTGTAGAGATGAGAGAGAGGTAGGTGGGCACTAATTGGGGTACACTTGCAGCCTCCTCCAAAGCCACAGGGTTGGACTGCCACCTGCTGACTATGTCGAGCCAGTAGCTGCACGGATGAGACGCCTCTTCTTCCGACAGTTTCCCCCCCGCCGTGCCCCCCGGGGGGCTGGCCCCGTAGCCGACTCCCAGCAGAAACATGTGGGAGAGAGATATGCTGTCCGACACAGCCGGACGACGCAGGTGAACTCTGACCTCTCGGGCTAAAACAGGTGTCTGGAATTCAATCTTCACACACCCGAGACCACTTGTGGGGATTGAGGGAGTGGTGGGTGTGGGCGGGGCCAGCTTTGGCTGGGCGGAGACCTCGACAAGGACGGAGGAGGGACCGTTCTGAAGCAGCCCGAGAGGTTGAAAGAGTTGGAGGCAACGAAGGAGGATGGGGTGGGAGAGGGTCGCGGATATCACCACCTCCTGGTCGTGGTCTCCTGACTGGAATTTGTGGTGGAAGGCAGACGAACGAGATGGGGCATCACTCATCTGTCCTGACTGGAGATCACTGAGGGGGGCGGTGCCAGGAGTGAGGGCGAGGCTCGCGAGCGGGAGGTAGTTAACGAGGTGGGTGGAGTCACCTCTGGGGGACTGCTGCTGCCCCACCTGCTGAAGAAGGGTGTGGCTTAGAGAAGAGGAGGCGGAGTAGGATGAATCTTGGCAGGACTTGACGAGACGTTCAAAGACCCCACGAGCACCTCCGTCTCTGAGGAACAGTTCCAACTGTCCTTTACTGCTGGGACTGGACAGCTGAGTCAGCACCCCATTGAAGAAGGAGAGGAAGGAAGGAGAGAGAGGGGCAGTCGAGCCGATGACGGACAGTAGAGGACGGTGGAAGGCAGAGAGGTCCTCACACTTGTCATAGAGAGTGCGCAGGAGGGTTGACAGCTCCGAGAGAGGGGATCTGGGAGCAAGAGGGGTTTTCCCCGGTGGGCGTGGCACGGTGTGCGAGAGGGCGGAGTCAGCGAGGAGAGAGAAGAAGTTCTCCAGGAGTGTGGAGTTGCCGTGAACCAGACAGGTGAGAGGAAACGACAGACACAGTGGCGCGTCCATTCCCTTCATCACATGGGACAGAACTTCAGGTGGAAGACTTTTGGACAAGAAGAGAGTTCGACGGACGAATTGTATCAGGTCCGCGGTGACCTTTAAACCCTGGGCAGGGTCGGTATTGTCCAATGGAAGGTTCTGCCATTTCAGGTTAGAGGCTCCGGAGTTACGATATCGGTACTTTGTGGGGTCAATATCAGCCGCAAACAGCTGCACGTCTGGATGAACAGAACGTCACACACATTAGTGAAATAAGAGAGAGTTTTGTATAAGTGAGATATGGGGGGAAAGGTTGTGAGCGAGATAGAGGGAAAAGATGAAAGGACTAGGTTTGCAGCAACAGAGTGTACAGTACCTATAGTACATGTATGGTAAAGTACAACACACACTCATACTGTGGCAAACTGCATTGAGGTGACTGGAGCGAATCATTGTCGGTATCATCTGTAGCAGATGGCGTACACAGGAGACTGCCAGGCAGCACGGAGCTGGGTGTGGAGGGAAGAGGGACCCAATAGCTGACTCCTCGTTAAATACCTTCACCAGAGTGTGGAACATGGGACTGCTCAACACAGCTGGCCTGAGGAGAGAGAGAGAGAGAGAGAGAGAGGTAGCGACAGTGTCCACTTGGTACACCACGCACCTCTCCTTCAGAATCTTGACCAGAACCTCAAGAATGACGTGAACACCTTTGATACCATCACTCCTACTTCCTGCTTCCCCATTCTCCTTACCCTCTTTCCATTCCTCCACATCTTCTTCACCAGTTCCACTTGCCACGTCCAGATTCAATTCAAACACAGTCTTAAGGAACTCTGAGACCACGCCCCTAGCCACGCCCACATTGGGGAGTTCGTCAGTGGACGTAAAGAATGCCAGGAGAAGTTGAGAGAGTTGCGAGGGTTTAAGAGGAAGGTATGCGTGAGATGAACACAGCTGTTGGAGGAGCGAAAAACCAATCTGCCAGGTAGCATCCCTTGAAGGGGTGTGGCCGGAGGGGGTGTGGCTTAAACATTCACCGAGAGCTCGAAGAAGTTTGGGGGAGGAGAGAGACACCTGGTTCTGTCTCCTCTGACACCCCAGTTGAAGTGGTGTAGCTGCCTTCTTGTTGAACAAGAGTGAGTTCAGTTCGCTCCAGAAGATAAGGAGGCTAACAAGCGTGACCTGCGGTTTAGGACCTCGCGCCAGTGAGAGGAGACAATCGAGTGACTCACAAACCAAGTCACAGGCATCTTCCAGTCCTCGCTCACCCTTCCCCTCCTCCTCCTCCTCCCTCGGTGTTACTCCAGACGATGGCTGGGCAGTGACCACAGATCTCAGAACTGCCTCGTACTGTTCTCGGGCGACGTTCTGAAGACACAGCTCTGCGGGGTAGTCCAGAGAGCACCTCAGTCGCTGGTCAACGCAGCTGGAGATGAGGAACGAACGATAGGGGTTCACCGCCGGTGATTTGGAGGCCGACATAGGAGCGGGGTCAGGGTACTCCGTATAGTCCCCGGGAGCATATTTCGAACTCTTGATGTGATGATGTTTTGATAGTTTTTTCTTCAGTTTGTAGTGGTGATTGGGTTTTGGAAAGAGCTGTAACGAAGGGGGCGGAGGAGGAGACGCTGAGAGAAACAAGGATTTCAAATCTGCGATGCTGGGCGGAGCTGTTGCTATGGAGATGTGAGGTGGGAGGAACGGAGCAGGGGCAAAGGTCTCACTGGTAGGAATGGGAAGGGGCGGGGGGATCTGGAAGGTGGCAGGAGGGATGGGAAACGAGGAGGAGAAAGGCTGTAACATGGGGTTGAAGTCGTCAAGGAGACCAAACATGTCCAGGTCGAGAGTGGGAGGCTGAGGAAAGCTCCACTCGTCAGTTTGGAGGGAGACGCTTGGAGGCTTATCAGCCGAGCCCTTCTCTTTCTCAGGCTCTCTGTCAACCATGACAGCTTCCTCCTTCACTGGCAGAGCTTTCTCTCCCACCCTCTCCACCTGCTCCTCCTCTCCCTCCCCCTCCACAGGGGAGCCCACGTGACCAAAATGCACCAGTGACATCACCATCCAGGATATTGCCTGACACGCCCAACGCTGGTTGCTGGGATCGTTGCTAGGGGCGGGGTTGGCGGAAGGGAGGGGAGAGAGTGCGGTGGAGAGGAGAAGTGTGAGTTGTGAGCATGTGAGGAGGGAGGGAAGAGGGAGGGGGGCGGAGGACAACTCAGTCAGGATGGAAACAGCCTGTAAACCAAAGAACGTGATCAGTATGTGCATCATTTGTGGGGTATACATGTACACATGTCATAATATTACCATGCAGTGGGTTAATAGTGAGGAACAGTACCTGGATGACAGCGACAAAGAAATGAAGTAATGACAGAAACCAAATTGGCGAACGCAGTTAAAATTCCAAATTGAGACGCAGGCACGAAGAGAGTTTATTAAAGTGAATATGTTCTTACCTTGCAGACCATTGGGAGCTGGAGCCAGTCTCTCTCATTTGATAGGGAGACGCAGTACATGAGGAGTCCTCGTACCACATTGTGGGTGAGTGGGTAGGGGAGACTGAGAGTGGTGGCAGACCTTCGCCCAATTCTAGACTTTGTCTTCCTGGATCTCTCAGAGTCAGGTACAGGAGTCAGGGTGGGTGTAAAGAGATGAGGATCTTTGTTGTTGTGGTTGTGGGAGGAGTGGAGAGAGGAGAGAGGAGGGAGTGGGTGAGGAGGAGGAGAAGCCAGCGTAGCTGTGGGTCACAGCGGTGCCGAGGGTAGGAGGTGAGGAGAGGGTGTGGAGGAGACTGGTGATGACAAAACCGAAAACTGTGGTGCGACTTCTCTGACAAAGAGCTGACAGCTGCAGCAACACTCTGGATAGAGAGGACGGAGAGAGAGAGAGGAAATCAGGTGAATACAGTGATATATACACCCCTCCCCACCTTTTCTTGTTGAAGGAGGTGTTTTGTTGCGGGGAGAAAAGGTCGGAGGCAGTGGAGACGACCATCTCCCCCCACCAAGGCTTGACCACACAGCGCGCAGGAGGAGGGCGCAGGCCCTGGCCGATCTCTGGACCTTGGTGGACACAGAGAAGAGGGGACGAGCAGCCGGGCACTCCTCCTCTGTCACGTTGAGGGAGCTTGGTTCAAGCCAGGGGAGCTGCGGACACAACAAGTGCGGAGGAAAGCATCTATGGTATCTTCTACACAAAAATTGTTACGAATTGTTTGGAGGCACATCCAAAACAACGATTCACTTCATTTACAGGAATTGAGTAACGAAGTATTGTCCGATGTCTCATCAGCTGTGTGCAAACACAATGAGGAGTTTTCAGCCAAACATTAGTACCGTTCATATTGTGCGGTTTGTATCCAGTAAACAACAGCGGTGTGTCCCCCTGTCTCTCGTCCCGGGACCAGCCAGGATCAACACAGTGGTCACCAGGCAACCAGCCAGTCGGTACATCTGGCTGGCTCGAGACAGAGATGAGTAGTCCACTGCGGCAGCTTGCTCCTGAAGATTCTGACACGACCCCGCAGATACCGCTAGGGGCTTTCCCCACGGCTCTCATGTCAGCTGTCTGAGTCTTGCGAGCCTTCTGTTTGTGCAGAGAGCAAGCACGGCTGCGTACTTCTCCCTAATGCCGCTTCCTTTTGTCGTGAGGATCCTCGCCAGCGGTCGTTCAGGGCCGACACACAAGCGTCTTGTCTCGCTCTCCTGATACCTGGAGAGCAGACACTGCTCTATTAGGGTGGCAGAATTGTATGGCCCCTGGGGTCTTCTTGGGGGTCAGGAGCAGGGACGCGTCGTACGTAGCTCCGAGGGCAGCACACTCTGCTCTCTCTCTCGCAGCTCCCAGTCTTCCCGGTGCTACGTCACCTGGCTTACACCGACAAGAGCGCTAGTAGTGATTAACCACAATTTGTTAACGTTGACGGAGTAGAGTTGATTGACTACTCACCCTGATAAACTGGCAGAGAGGAGCTGACTGTCTGAGTGGCTGATGTTCCCAACATGAGGTTCCTCTCCTGAATCTCAGTGGACTGAGCCACCCGCACCGCTTCTCCCTTCCCCTCCATCCCCTCTCCACACCTCCACACTCAAAAAACCACCGTGCATTGGTGGAGATGATAAGGTCGGTAGGTTATACCGGCTGGTTGGAATGCAGCACAGCAGGAATACACCTTCCCGCTGGAGGGGTCTATCACCAACACAGTTCTCGCGGGGAAATATCCGACTAACGAGGTCGTTAGGACAGGGGTTGGGGTGTCCTGTAGGACAGGGAGGAGGAGTGAGAGGGGGGAATGTACTTGGAGACGTGGGTAAAAGTAGCCGAGGTTCGTCTTCTCTGAGTTCAGAGATGGAGAGGAGGAGGAGGAGGGAGGCGGGAGAGGAGAGGAATGGAGGACTGCGGAACATTGGCTCTCGGACGCTGGCATCTGGAAGGACGTAACGGAGTAGGAGTAACAGGAGTACTCACAGAATGAGGGGTGTGTTAATGTGGTCTCAGTTAGAAAGAACCTGCGTTGGACTTTGTGGGGCGATGGGCTGTGGATGTGAGTAGAGATGTTTGAGGGTAGAGGAGGACGGACACGTGGTGAGAGTGTTGGGCGCACGGGAACTCGGCAGCAGAATGTAGTAGCAATAGGACATTGTGTCACTGGTCATTGTACTGTGTTACAATATTGTGCACGAACAATAGCTAATTGAGGTGTCATACGTGCGGCGTCTGCTGGTGAGGACAGTCCAAAGTTACTAGCACGCCAGAGGCCAATAGCAGAAATACCGTCAAGACGCCACGAAGAGTAAGCACAGTTGTTGATCGCAAGCATGCAAGCGACAACCTATCACAGCAGGCCGTGCACGTAACAATTGTGTTGGCTGGCAATGTATGTTTCTAATTGTGTCTTGTGGAGACACATTCCCTGGAGCGCCTGGTTTTCCGCGAAATTTGTGCTCCTACGGGAGCCAGAAAGATGGCTCACTGTGATGTGAGTCGGCTCTTCTATCATATTCGATGAGTGATAACCAAAACGCAGTGTAGTTCCAGGTAACTGTGGGGCACTTGCACTGCGAGTCCAGTACCCACGATCCAGTGATTCTGAGAGAGGGCAAAACCCTCCGGGAAAGTGGCAATCTGATTATGGTGGCGAGACACAGGAGAACAGGGCGCGAGTGCCCCCCTGGACAGGGACCAGAAGCCCTGAGAAGTGAGGGGAGCATGGCATCATCGGACTTGAGAAGAAGAAAACGAAAACGGGCAGAGGTGTGCCATCGAGAATAGGCATCGTTCCGGGCCGTTTCGGATGAAGAGCTCAGCGATGGGTACCAGCAGGGACGGGCGACAATCCAGATGGACGATGTGTCACCAGCTGTCGGTCAATGTGCCGTCACACCCGGCGGATGAGACGTTTAATAAAGCGCGTCAATGGCTTCCGGTAAAGAGATAGTGGGTTACTAAAGAAGAGAAAGGGTGAACGACACAATATTGCTGACAGAAATCGTCCAAACCAGTGCCCGTCGCGCTGGCTCTTATGGAACGCCTTCAGCCAGCCCGGGTCGGCGGTGCGGGGGGGGGGGGTGGTCAACCGACATTTTGATATGACAGCAACGATGAGTTTGGGGTATCTACTGTGCCATTGCCTATGACTTATGTTGCCACCTGTGCAACGAGGCATAGTAAGACATGTAAAATAAGAGACACTCTTACAATTTGCTAACACACCTTTCACATTACACCACAATTTGCTCTCCCTTTCTCATTGATAGCAGAACCAAGCTTTTAACCCAATAATATTTCAGGTATTTTGTAGGATGTGTTTCAACCAGAGACAAAGCTCCTAGGGGTCTACTGACAGAAGGCCAAGGTTTTAATAAATTCTAAATCGTGAAACATGACTAAATGGATTCTACAACCAAAGCACTTCTAACCACATATGAGGGGGCAGAGGAGAGGACGCACGGGTGGTGAGTGGGGGGGTGGGGGGGGGGGGGTTGGGGGGAGGGGGGGGCGGAGGGGTGGGTAGGGAAGGGGGAGGACGGGTAGCCTAGAGCTGGGTAGGAGGCGCGGCAGGGGAGAGAGGGCATAGCCCCATAGAACCACTCCAAGTGAAAAGTCGCCTCACGCCATAACCCAACAGGCGCCATACTTCTGGTACACCATGCCACCCCGCCCACCCGCAAACAAACCTTTGTACTCCCCCGGCGCGTCTGCGAGGCCGAGCGGGTGGAGGGCCTGCTCGTGGATATTCACGGACTCCAACAAGCCCCACCGCCGCGCACCGCCCCCGTTCAAGCCAATACCCCCCTGACCAGACCCACACCACCCGGTGCAACACACAGCCCAACTCACAGCCGCAAACCACCCACCACCCAACACAAACCGAACTGTTCGTGTGGTGAGACCTCCACCCCCTAGTACCACCTCTCACATCACAAAAACCACCACCACGGGTCTTCGAACCAAACAAATAACCGATACCCCACACCCCTATCCAGTAGACCCGCCTGTAACCCAACCTCTTAGGCAAAGCAGCTGCCCACGTCATCCTAACATTTTGACGATATCACGCACCAAACCAAAAGCTTTTTCAAATGCCTATTTTAAACACACAAGCACATGTAAAAGAAAGTAGTAAAAAAAAAAATAGACGAAGAAAGAAGTTTTTTTTTGTGGG